TATTAAAGCTATCAACTACTAGGAAGCAAAGCTATAAAGAGAATGGCCTATAAAAGAGTGGTCCATAATAGTAAAAAAAAATTCTGATTTTTTTAATTATCATCTTACAAAAAGTACAATGAAAATGACTTAACATTGCTGCAAATGGGGTCTCTTAAAAAAGCTCAATTTAATGTTCATGGCCCTTGAAGCCATTTGAAATCTAGTTTCATCAACTTGGATATTTTATGAACTAATTTTTCCCTATTTTAATTTTAAAATAATATTGTTTTCAAGCTTTTTAATTTCTCATATGGGAACTTGAAGAAATGATTATAATGTTGGGGATACAATCTTCTATGAGATATCAGAAAGAACATGAAGATTTTAATATGATATACGTGTCTCGACATATAATATTGTCAATTTTGCAATGTTAAACATGAACTTGTAAAAATAAATAGATGAATTGAATGTAGAATGTAAAGTTATGGTGAGTGGTGTAGAAATAGCCATGTTGAGTTGAAGACAATATTCTCAAACTCAAATCACCCCTTGCCTAGTCAAGGGGTTGGTTCCCAGGTTGCCTGATCCTATCAGTTAGACCAGTCAGTCAGACCGATGACGTCAACATGTCTAGCAGGTTTGAAATCTAGCAAACACACCCTTATCAAATAACACATCAATCCTTGCAAGTTTGAAATCCAACAAAACACACCCCTACGATCTAGGCAAGAAACCGCAGAGCAGCCAAGTGGTGGCGATGATGATCGACGACCAATTGAAGTTTGTGATCATAGGGGTTTTGATGTGGAGATGAATGTGATGTTAATGGTGGTATCACATGGGATGGTTGGTGCTAGAAGCTGCCAAAATCAGGGAGGAAGACAATTGGTTTTTACGAAGCAAACAGGTGATGGCGACGACGAGTGGGGACCAATCAGAGTTCAAGATGATGGGGTTTTTGATGTAGAGATGAAGGTGATGTTGATGTTCGTGTCAGGTGGGATGGTTGGCGCCGAAAGTTGTCATAATTAGGGATTTGGTGACTTAATTCAACTATTGGATTGGTCAGACCGGCGGTTCATCACTATTATGCAAGTCCAATCTAGGCCATAAGCTAAAACTGGGTTTTGAGTGTTTCCAGACTGGAGAAGGGGTTGGTTCCCAGTTGGACCAATCGATTCAATCAGAGTTTTAAAACATTGGTTAAGAATTGTGTCGAGCACAACCCTATATCAGTTTTCTCATTACCATTCACCTACACTATGTTTGTCAACCAATGGATTCATAAACTGATCGAACCCAAAAAGTGTTCCAACAACCATCCAGTTAGCATTCAGCTTGATTGCAGTACAAAATACCAGTTGATTTTTAATATTAAAAAAAGTAATAATAAATAATCTTCCAACAAATATCCATCCTATCTAGAAATGACAATGATAAGCAATAGATTGAATGTCTATCAATGCAAGAAGTCTATGGAACATACCCTAGATTTATTCTCATGTTTGTTTCTAATGGTTGTTTATGGGAGTGTATCACATCACAAGTTTACCCTGATCGCTTTAGATAGGCACGAGACAAACATAGTAGTGCAGCTTATGGTGATTACCAATAAAAGAATCTAAAATGCATTTTTGTAAGAAAATAAAATATACAAGGATAAAGAAAAACAAACTTAAGAAGCATTAGATACTATGAAAATCAAATGGAAATCCATCAAAGATATGCATCACAGTTAACATCAAAAGATTTGCATAAGCAAATATACAACCATAAATGAGAATAGAAAACATATTGTTTTTAAAACATGTTTATTTTTCAATCGAAGCAAAATACCATGTTATAAGGACGTAGATGGCACATTTATTATAATTTAATCCTCATATAGACTTTGATAGCTTTGATATTGGATCTTACTATGAAGNGATTGAATGTCTATCAATGCAAGAAGTCTATGGAACATACCCTAGATTTATTCTCATGTTTGTTTCTAATGGTTGTTTATGGGAGTGTATCACATCACAAGTTTACCCTGATCGCTTTAGATAGGCACGAGACAAACATAGTAGTGCAGCTTATGGTGATTACCAATAAAAGAATCTAAAATGCATTTTTGTAAGAAAAAAAAAAATAAACTAAATTAGAAAAAAAAAAATATACAAGGATAAAGAAAAACAAACTTAAGAAGCATTAGATACTATGAAAATCAAATGGAAATCCATCAAAGATATGCATCACAGTTAACATCAAAAGATTTGCATAAGCAAATATACAACCATAAATGAGAATAGAAAACATATTGTTTTTAAAACATGTTTATTTTTCAATCGAAGCAAAATACCATGTTATAAGGACGTAGATGGCACATTTATTATAATTTAATCCTCATATAGACTTTGATAGCTTTGATATTGGATCTTACTATGAAGGAGTAGAAGTCCATTAATTGATATCCATATAAAAGATATATCATACGTCATTCATGAAAATTGAATCAGCAAATGTAAAGATAATGACCTAGCCATAAAAGAAAATTATCATGGGTTTTCTCTTTACTCACTTCCTAGAATTTTTCAATTGACAAAGTTTAGTTGACAATTACTTTTAGCAACACAAAACAATGCCCAAACTCAAGGACTAAAAAAGTCATCCTAGTTCCATTAATTGCATATTTCATTAATGTTACATAGCTTCAGCTTATCGAAAATGGATCGGTTGATTGGATTGGTGATGTCAGCATGTCCAACAGGTTTGAAATCCAACAAACACACCCTATAAAATTACACATCAATCCTTGCAAGTTTGAAATCCAACAATACATACCCCTACAATCTTGGCAGGAAACCACGAAGCAGCCAAGTGGTGCCAACGATGGTCGACGACCAATTGGAGTTTGGGATGGTGGGGGTTTTGATGTGGAGATGAATGTGATGCTGATGGTGGTGTAAAGTGGGATGGTTGTCGCCAGAAGTTGTTGAAATCAGGGAGGGAGATAATTTTCGTGAAGCAACCAAGTGGCGACGATGACAACCAGTAGTCAATCAAAATTCAAGATCATGGGGGTTTTGATATGGAGATGAAGGTGATGTTGATGGTGGTGTTAGGTGGGATGGTTGGCTTCGAAAGTTGCCGTAATTAGGGATTTGGTGATCAGGTTTAGCTATCGGTCCAGTCAGACTGACGGTTCGTTACTATTATGCCAATCCAATCTAGGCCATAAGCTAAGACCGGGTTTTGAGTGTTTCTAGACCGGAGAAGGGATTGGTTCCTGGTTGAACCGGTCGAACCGGTCAATTCGATCTGGCTTTTAGAACACTGGTTGAGGATTGTGTTGAGCACAACCCAAGTTTTTTAAGGAAGGATTGATGAGAAGTATCAGGTTAAGATAAACTTGGCAAACGGGCGGGTGTACCCGCGGGTCAACGGGTACCCGTACCCAATGGACGGGTACGGGTAACACATATTTTGACCCGTGAGAATCTGACCCGTACCCAGCTTGCCCGTGACTTTTGCGAATGGACCGGGTACTACCCGCTGGTACCCGCAGACCCGCAAATTTGAAATTTAAAAAAATAAATAAATAAAACTTATCACTCATCTCACTCTCAAAGTCTCACTCTCAACTCAAACCCTAATCTAAACCAAAACAGCAAAACTTATCAGTGAACAAACAAAAAACGCAATAGCTCATTCTCTTCTCTCACAGGCCACAGTAGCTCCACGACCACGACCACTCCTCAGTCCTCTCACAGCAGCTCCACTTCCTCACTCTCTCACTCTCACAGCAGCTCCACTCTCCCTCATTCTCTAACTTCTCTCACGGCAGCAGCAAGTGCTAGCAGCAGCAGGTCACGACAGCCCATTCTCTCACAGCAGCAGCAGATCTCCTCTCACGAGTCACGGCAGCACCAGCACGGCAGCAGCAGATCTCCTCTCACGGCAGCACCAGCACGGTAGCAACAGGGCAGCAGTCAGGTCAGTGTGGCCTCTTAATTCAAACCAATCTTTAGATTAAATTGGAGTCACAATCAATTCTGGGCATGTATGTGGTCATAGCATTAGATCTCACCTGGATTTGCAATTAATAATGAAGCTTCCATGAAATGACATGCACCAATAATTCAACATATATTTAATGATTTGATTGAGAAGCAGTCACATTTGAAAACATAAAGAAATAATCTTTCTTTATTTGATAGGAGATGCAAAAAGAAAATGTTGCTTTAGGCAATTTATGGGTGCCGTGGGGTACCAAATTTTGACTTTGATCTATAAATTCTAAAACTATTGGTGAAAGAATTGAATGAAGAAAAGAAGCATTAATTTTTATGCTAACAAAAATTGTGTATTATTCGGTGCATTTAAAGTCATACTTTAAAAAATTCTCAAATTAATTAATTAATCATGTTACTTCCTCAACATCCATGTTAAGTTATACAGAATAAATATAACAAATTTTTTGTTATATTAAATGTCACACCTATAACATATAAGTCAAACTTGTGATCAATTTGTAATATATTATGATTTGTATTTGATAACCTTATATGCTATTAATGCAACTTAAATTCGTAAATTCTTTATTTTTTTTTTTTTTTTTGGATGAATTGTTATGAATTATGATTGGTTATACTTATTGGAGTTGAGGGGTGTTGATTGTTGAGTTGGAAAAATCCAGTCATTTGGTAGGGCTGGTTTGCTTGTAAAATATATGGGAGTGTTTTTATTTTTTTTGGACGAATTGTTATGAATTATGATTGGTTAATTAATTTAAATGTAAATACTTTGTTGTGTCCTTTAGATTGGCTTGGTATGGAGGAGTCTATAGATATAGGAACGGGTCGTAATGTAGCCGTAGGTCAACTTCCTTCTACTGGTAGTACTGTTTGTCCAAAAAAACGTAAAGTTTCAGATGTTTGACATTATATACAAAAGATAATGGGGAGGTAAGGGTAAAGTGTATGATTTGTGGTAAGTCATATGCACATGGTAGTTCCAGTCATGGGACTAAGAATATGAGGCATCATATGGAAGATTGTCCTAAACGTACCATTACTAGTAGTGTAGATCAAATGATGATGGATTGTGATACTAAATTGAGATGTATGAAGATTTCTCAAGAAATTTATCGTGAGAAGATGGCAATAGGAATCATAAAACATAACTACCTATATTCAATAGTGGAGCATGAAGGAATTAGGGATGTCCACATGTATTTGAATCATGAAGTTAAGCAATATACTAGGAACACCGCTAAGGCAGATTGCTTAAAGGTATATTACAGGGAGAAGGAAAAGATTAAGCTTGCTTTAGAGAGGGTTTCGGGTAGAATATGCTTGACTTCTGATATTTTGAGTTCTTGTACTATTGATGGGTATATTTCTTTAACGGCTCACTATGTTGATGAGAACTGGGAGTTACAAAGTAGAATTTTGAATTTTTGCCATATTCCTTCTCCACACTCAGGGGCTCTTTTGTCAGACATAGTGTATGATTTCTTAAAAGATTGTGGGATTGAAAAGAAATTCTTCTCTCTTACATTAGACAATGCAAGTAACAATGATAAAATAGAAGACATTTTAAGGAGTCAACTTTGTGTGCAAAATGTTTTATTATGTGATGGTTCTTTTTTTCATATGCGATGTTGTGCACATATCTTGAATCTCATAGTCCAAGAAGGGTTAAAGGTGAGTAGCGTGGCTTTGCATAAAATTCGTGAAAGTGTGAAATATGTTAAAGGAAGTGAGGCTAAAAGAATCAAGTTTGGAGAACTTGTTCAAAAAATTGGTGTGATAAGCTCAAAAGGATTGCGAATGGATGTTCCCACGAGATGGAATTCCACTTATTTAATGCTTCAAAGTGCGTTAATATACCGTCGTGTGTTTGTTCATTTGACACTGATAGATCCCAATTATAAAAGTTGTCCTTCAGATGAAGAATGGGATAGGGGAATGAGGATTTGCAAGTTCTTGCAACCATTTTATGAGATCACTACTCTTTTTTCGGGTTCCCAATACCCGACAGCAAACTTGCATCTCAAAAATGTGTGGAGAATTCAAGTGCGTTTATATGAAGAGATGGAAAATGAGGATGAAGTTCTTAGTACCATGGCAAGTCAAATGAAAGGAAAATTTGACAAATATTGGGATTCTTACACTGTTGTGTTAGCAATTGCAGCAATTCTGGACCCACGTTTCAAGTTTGAGTTTGTTGAGTTTTGTTACAAAAAAGTTGATGGCCCAGTAGTTGCAACAAGAAAGTTGGAGTTGGTCAAGCAGGAGTTGTATAGGCTTTTTGTTGCTTATGAGGGTCTAAGTGGCAATGAGGTTCAGGTTCCCTGCAATCCTTGCGTGCAAGCTAGTGATCCTAATATCATTGGAGATGATATTTGTGTAAGTCAATACTCCCTAAATATTTTTATATTCTTGTGATTAATAAGGTTTTCTTAATTTTATATTCTTGTAATTTTGTATTTAAATGGTGCAGGAATTTGACTACTCCAAGAGTGACTTTAGTGCTACTAAGAAGTTGGAATTGGATACTTATTTGGGAGAGGCAAGGTTTGATCGCATCAAATTTTACAATTTGGATATCCTGGACCATTGGAAGAAAAATAGTGATCGATATCCGATACTTTCGATGATGGCCCGTGATGTGATGAGTATACCAATAACGACTGTTGCTTCGGAGTCCAGTTTCAGTATTGGTAGCAAAGTGCTCAATAAATATCGAAGTTCACTTTTACCGGAGAATGCAGAGTCTTTGATATGCACCAGGACAAGGATTTCTGGATATGAAGTTAAAGGTAACATTTTAACCTATATTTCACATGTTTTAATATTTTTGTTTGTTAATATATTACGATAATTAACTTATATTTTGTTAATTGTAGAAGATGAAATTGATGATGTTCAGCTGCTTGTGTCATTAAGTCAAGTGCCGAGGAAGGGGAAGGAGATTGCATAATCAAGGGCGGCTTTGTTTGTTTAGTGTGTTTGGTACTTTGGTTAAACAATTATATATGTTTAATTGTTTAGTGTTTACTATGTTATATATGTTGAATGTTAAACAATTTTATATGTTTAGTGTTTACTAATTAGTAATTACTATGTATGTTTAGTGTTTATTAATTCTATTATCTATATGGTAGAGTTTGATATAAATATGAAAAATATTAATATTGAATTAATAATGTTTGGTGAAATCTAATCAAATTTAATTTAATCACTATTTATTTAATATAATAAGTTAATAACTAATAAGTTTAATAAATGAATTTTATATCAAGTTTTTAAATTAATATAATTTAGTATGCAATTTGAAATTTTGAATAAAAAAAAACAGTAAAAAATAACAAAAATATGGAAAAACTGTGAAAAATGTGTAAAATGTAAAAGGCTGCTGCCATTTTCACGGGTGACCCGTACCCGCACGTGCGGGTATGGATCATGAAAATGTCGACCCGTGAGATTTTTTCACCTGCGACCCGTTACTACCCAGACCATACTCGCCCGTTTGCCAGATCTAGGTTAAGATAATGAATTTCTAGGCGTAAAAAATGCAATATAAAACTCTGGGTTATGTCAAACATAATATGATTTGATTTTTTGAGAAAAAGGTTGACAAGATAAGTCAAGTTGAGATAACATATAGTATCAACTGCAAATTGATTAATGTTTTTAAACAAAGATTATTGATGCATGTCAAGTTAAGATAACGAATTGAGAGGTGGGAAAATTGTGGTGTAAAGCTAGGGATTTTGTTAGACATAACATTATTCGATTTTTTTTTTTTTTTAAATAGATTGACAAGACAAGTCAAGTTGAGATAATACTGAACATATAGTGCCAGTTGTAAATGGATTGATATTTGAAAGAGAGATTGATGAAACATGTCAAGTTAAGATAATGAACTAAGTGGCATAAAAATTGCGATGTAAGCTAAGGGGTTGTGTCAAACATAAAATGATTTGATTTTTAAAAAGAGATTAACGAGATATTTCTAGTTGAGATGACAATGAATATATAGTGTCAACTATAAATTGATCCTTTTTTTTTCAAGAGCGATTTCCGAAACCTGTCAAGTTAAGATAATGAACTGGGAGGTGTGAAAATTGCAATGTAAAATTAGGGATTGTGTTGAACATAACATGATTTTATTTTTTGAAAAAGACATTGATAAGACATGTCAAGCTCAGATAACATTGAACATTTTGTGTCATCATGATTCAACCAATTTTTTTAAAAAGGGATTTATGAGACATGTCAAGCTAAGATTATTGAGTTTGGAGGTATAAAAACAGTTGTGTAAAGGTAAGGGTCATGTCAAACATCATAAGATCGATATTTTGAAAAAGAGATTGGCAAGATATGTCAAGACTCAAGTTGAGATAACATTTGATAGTGGTATAATTTGATCTCATCTTTTATATTTTTAAATTTTAAGATTTGTATTACGATAAATGGAACTTGTAGGGTGTTTCGTGGTCTTGAGGATTAGATAGGCTCCAATGTGAGCCTGGATATCTCAGATACCTAAAAAAAAAGTATTATTTTAGAAAGGATCAAAAAGCTCTTAATTTATTTTTTTTTCCCAGAATTTTACCTTTGACTATAGTTTGGAGGGGTCACCATTGATTCTATCCTCGACAAATTTAACCCCAAACTCTAAACCCTAGATAAATCATATTACGATCCTATATTCATTAAAGGAAAAAAACTTAAACATGGTATCGATATTATACATGTGATATTTTAGGAGGTATAATAAGCAAAAGAAAGAAGGTGTATCTAACAAATCAAATGAAGAAATTTGAGGTGACCTTGCCATAAGGCAGTATTGTCTTGCAAGACTTAGCAGAAACATTTGAGTTGTGCAATTAATGCCCTACAAAATTAATGTTATGGGTTAAGGATTTATATAAATGATTGATTTTAGACATTATAAATCGTCACACAGTTTTGAAAGTTACAATATTTTAAGATAAATATATAATACCTTAACTAATTGAGTGCTTAATTATAGAATCGCAATAATAATTGAACTAACCATTGAATCTAATTCATATTTCAATAATTTATAGCTATTGGTGAATTTAAATATATTTGGACTAATACAATCTCAGCAGCTTTGGCATTTATAATATCCTCATCATCAACAATAATCGCAAAATAAAATAAAAATTATATATATTGAAATTTGAAAAAATCATATGAATGTTGGATTACAACAACAAAAACAAAAACAAAAATTCAGAATTAAGTTTCATTAACCGACAAATAAAGAAAAAAAAATATAAAAGAAAATATGAGAAATAAGAACGTATCGGAGAAATTCAGAAATTTAAATAACAAAATCAATATACCTGCAAAATATGACCGTAGCAAGAATAACAATACTAAAAATAATTAATAACAAGTTACTACAACACTTAGTATTGAATATTTTAATTTAAATCTTAACGTAAACAAAAAATAAATAAATAAATGTTATAATGAAATGAGATTAGAGTAAATTTGAAATTAAAACTCAAGAGAACTTACTATCCAATTAATATACAATAAAAAAAAAAAAAAAGCAAGAAATTTCCTAGAATGTAGAAAAAGAATCTGAATCACAATCTTTGACAAAAAAAACCATTTGTGGCTTTCAGAAAAAGCAAAAGAAAAAAAATAAATAAAATATGTTTTTGGTAACATTTGAAGAAAAAATCCATTACTTGAAGCTTTTGGGTGCAAGAGGAAGGTGAAAGTCAATATACCTGGTCAGCAAGCTGTCTGAAGATCTAGATTTTCTTGGCATTCTTGCAATATTCAGTACTTAAATCTTTTTATTTTATATTTTCTACAAGTATGTCTGACTCTGAGCTCAAAATCAAAGATAAAAAAAAAAAAAAAAAAAATGGAAGGTAAAAACAAGATAGAAATGGTGGTGAAAAAGTTGAAGAACAGCTGTTGTGTAGGGTTGGCAACATCACAGCTGTTGTGTAGGGTTAGCATATTTTTCACGTGGAAGAAAAGAAATTTAATGCAGTGTTTGTCTTTTGGGTAGGGTATACTTCAAGCCAGCTGTTGAACTTGAAATGTGATCCCACTTCAGTATTCTTCATCACACAAATGACAAAACTAGTTTTCCTCTTTTCACTACAATGTCAATGTATTTTTCTCCTCTATGAAGAATGTCCTTTCAGATGTGGACAATTTAAAACTTAGAATTTTCCTCTATTAAAAAAAAATTGGAGTTTTAGATTCTAACTCGGGATTATGGGCTGGTATAGCCCATCCAAAAAGCCAACTGCAGCCCAAACAAAAATTTATCAAAGCCTCGCCCCATACTCTGTAAATGCCCCATACGTTAAGCTAATTTATAGCTTACAATTTTATTCTTTAATCATCAACACTTGAGAAAATTATTAGTTATTAAGCATAAGAAAAATATGAAGAAATCTTAGGAACCATTTTTTTTATTTTTTTTTTTACAGATTTTAGTTTAGAAGGGTAATGTTGTACATCATGTAGTATTACTTCGGAGAATTTTATGGAAAGTGATATATTAATGTTTATTAATTACTTAAATTGCAAAATTAATTTTTACTACTTATAATTAACAGAAGCTAATTCTGGTTAAACATTTTTTTTTATTATAAACTCCACACATTGAGTTCATCTTTCACTCTATCTTCTCACCCCTTTTTTTGGATGGTTTGATTTGCTTAATTCCAATGAAATCAGAAGAGACAAAATATTTTATCAGTCTTCCCATTATCGGATTAGTAACTTACCAGAATTTTGCACCCATTGAAGCAGCATAGCAGTCTGTCTTTGCTCTCTCTCCCCTTCTACTGTTCTACATCATCTTAGTTTTATATTGTATATTTTACAATTTTAATTAAATTAACAATAATTATGCTCCATGAACACAGGGAATATATAAACTAGTGGATGGGGGAAGAGGAGATCAGGGAAAGGAAGATGGTAATTCATCATACAGAATTCTTTGCATTAAACATTAAAAAATCTACTATAAATCTCACATTAATAAATATTTTGCCCTATTTACTTTCACAGAAAGAACAACACTGCTGCTGTTCCAAGGTGATCTTTTTAATAATCGGAGTGTGCGACCAGTGGTAGGTAGCTTCAAGGTTCAAACGCAAAAAATCAATGAAGAGAACAAATCTTCTATACCCTCAAACTAACCCCTTGGGGTTGTATTCCATGGCAATAGTCTGCTTTTTTAGAACAGGTATGAGTCAAATAGCATTGATTAACTTGAAAGCTACTACTCTTACTATTGTCAAAATAGTCCGAAGTGTAAACATGTAATCAACGATGTAGATGAGGATTTAATTTTATCTTTCCACTGACAGGATTATATCTTTATCTTCATTCAAATTCTTCCATAATAGTTTAGTACCTATTCATAACTTCATACTATAAATATGTATAATATCTTGCCGTTTATGAGGCTCAGCACATTAATTCTTTCCATAGCGAGATGCCAAGCAGTCAGTGGCAAATATACTAGAAGATAAAAATTTATCCGCTCCTCCTAACACGGGCATTTTGGCTCCAATCTTCGCCCTCGTCACATAATTTTTTCTGTAAGTCTGTCCAAGAATTCCATCAACCATATCACTCAGATTATAAAACTTGAACCCAAGTTCCAAGTGAGCAAAACAATTGTCAGCTGTTATATTGTAGCCATGCGCTCTTGATTCTTTTTCAGAAATTGGAACTACAAGTGCAGTCACCCTGAAACTTCCCTCCACTTCCGCCGCGATAAAATTGGTGTCGCGGCCGGCGCGAGTAATGGAGACAACCGGTGCTGATGGGGACTTCCATGAGGAACCTTCGACGGGAGGACGAGAGATGGAATTGGCATCGAAGGATAAGACAAAATGGTCGATGTTATCGTCCCAAATGGAGGTTGTTCTAGCTGCAATGAAGAGATTGTGGGAGTTGAAGATGACTGAAATGGATTGAACCCAAGTGAAGTCTCTATTCATTGAAGGGTCGCGCTTGCCGATGAAGTGGGCGTTGATATGGAGATTGGCATCTGAAAGTAAACAGAAGTTTTGGTCTTTATGGCCATGGAAGTAGAAAGTGTTGCCATCTCCACCTACAAATCGAGGGTCTTGGCAAACTGCACCAGGGTTATCGCAACCTGTAAAATTTTGGTTTTTAATAGTTATTAAGATATTTAAGATTGATTATATAAATAATTAAGTTATAATGTGTAATTCAATATGTCAACTATTAAACAATTTTATAGAAACCTAGGACACACAATCAAAAACGTCAAGAAATCCTCTGCTCTTCGGGGATGCCCTCAGCACCAAGGAACATGTACGATGGTGTATGGCGACTCGGTTAAAATATGGGTTGAAACAAAATAAAAGAAAGAACATAAAATTTTCAGAAGAAAACGCTATTCATTTGATGAGATAAAAAGGAATATCGAAAATTCTAGTGTTAGCTACTTCCAAAATAACAGAAAGAAAATCAACGATTGGGGTGGGAGAGTCAAAATCGAATATAGGATTCAGTCATGGTATCGAAATGTTTTTTATTGCTTATCACTACCAAACTAATGAGATCTACTTACATTTTAAAAAATACGGAGTAGCTTTACTTACTACAAATAGGTCTACAAGTAACACAGTCAACCAGGCAGGAAGTAGAGCAGATTGAGGGACAACGGTGCCAAGCCTGGTAGCAAGCCGGATATTGCCTTAACTGGCACCTCACTCTGCGTGGTGGTGAAGGAGAAGGAGAAGGTGGAGGGTTGGCCGAGCCGCCGCCATACGTAGCAAAGGCAGAAGAAGACAACCATAACATAATGAGAATGATGAAGAAGATCCGAATGCCCATCAAATTCATCTTCATTAACATAACTGAAGTATAATTAGCCATTAATCTAGATGTTAATTATGATGTTGTTGCGGGTTGTGCATGGCTTAATTTATAGATTAATTTTGTGAACGTTTTACTTGTTCTCTTTTTTTACTGAACTTGTTTCAGTTATGGTATCGGAATCACATTACTGACATTGGCGAAAACATGTGGACGTATAATTAATGTGTTGAGACCATAATTAAAGTGATTAAACTATATAATTAATTTAAAGCTTTTTCATATTATATATATAATTGTAAAACAGACACAATCAAGATTGAGGATCACGGTTCCTCGTTATTGACTTGAAAGATTTTTATGTTATAAAGTGGAAAAATGAATAAATTAATCGTTTCTGTAAGTTACAAAAGCCGTGTCTACAGCATGATTTTAGGCAATTAATTATTAATTACGTTCTGTCTATCTTTTTTTTTTTCTTTTTTCTTTTTTTGGTTATTTTAGCTTGTCAAATTAATTATATTTAATCCTGACAAATTAATTTTTTATCTTGTAAAAGAATAATTAATTGATATTGCAAGAAAGGTCTTGCCACAAATACATATGATCATAGAAACTAGGATCCCAATATTTTTAAGCATCAAATAACATGTATATATTGATGATTTGGAACATCTTTTTGTCTAGTTTCATATAATCTTTGAAGGATCTAAAAAACTATCTAACAATTACGATCCATTCATACAAAATATAAAGTTTTATACTTGTATCCAAACAAGAAAACCTAATAAACAAAAAACATTACTAGCAACCACTACTGTGTGGTTTGATGGTAAAAGAGCAAAATGAGGTTTTATGAGCTCCTGAGGTCGAGTCTCACCCTTGCACTAATAAGAGTGGCCACTAAGGCTCTTACCCGACCAACAATTCCAAAGCTTCGGAGGATTAATTAAGGTGCGCACAAGCTAACCTGGACACCCTCGGTGATCCACAAAAAAATAAATAAATATATAAAAGGTTGCAATTTAGTGTATGCTCTCCAGTTTTCGTCCAATTTGTTTGGATCAATCCAAACCAACACGACTTTTTGTTATTTGTCCGTTAAAGTTCAACTATGATTTTGTATCGCCATGAAACGGTGTCATAAAATGACATCTCCCCTTGTGGTCAGATGACAACCCCTTTAACCACTGGGGTTAGCTATACTCAAAGGTCTTGTGCTCAAGTTGCATGGAGACACACCGCATATATGCAATTACTTTAGTTCATTAGGTTTGTAGAGTATTCCATAACCATAAGACTCGACTGACAATTGCGCCCGATTACCTCAATTATTAAAAAAAAAAAGAAATCGTGTCATAATCTTCAAACAGTCCTCTCGAGAATAGAAAACAATGAAAAGTTAACACTATTACTAACAAAACATCATGAAGTCAATAAAACAATTTTATGAGATTTTCTCTCGTATAGTTTTTCTCATCGAATTGGTAATATATTAGTAATTGAAGCATTCACATCTAATGCAAAACTTTGTATGAATGAGGGATAGATATTAGATACAATGAACCTGCTCTTAATTAAGAAAACCAGACATTAATTGTCTGAATTAATAAGTCCAAACACAAAATACAAACTAATATATATATATAATGCACAAAGAGATGTATTAAACAAATTGTAAGATTTTGAGCTCATTTAATGATGGTGATGGCTGATGCCATGGTTTTGGCTCTCGGTTGTTTGACTCAACATTAAGATTTTGATGCATAACCAACCCTTGAATTATGTAAACTAATTATAAGCAAATTAATGAGAAATTGATTTGTCAATAAGGTCTCCGTCAATCACTCATATATTTTAAGTTAATACCAAATTTAATAAAGATGTAATTTTATTTTATTTGATAGTTGACTTATGCATGTGGTTTAATTTGATTAACCTGTTTAGAGATGATGTGGTTGATGATCTACCTAATTTCTGTTTTTATTCAAATTATAATATTTTATTTTCTAACATATAAAGCTATATGTTAGACCATACTAAACCAAATAACAACTATACTAGGTAATCTAGCATTTTTAAAAGAAAAGAGTAATTTTATATCTATTATTTTCTTTTAATAAAGGTTTTGACATCGAAACAAAATAAATTAAAATTATATTTAAAAAGAAAAAGAAAAAGAAAAAAATTATTGGTAGAGAATCTTAGGGTTCATGTTGTACACCACAATTTAGATGGGCTTGAGTCATCCTATCCAACATTTTCAATAAGAGTAATATTATACCAACAATTATTTCTCACAAAATTTCTCTTACAATCCTGATGTGGCAGCTCACAATTGACTAATTTGTAATTAATTAGTAGGACTCATGTGAGACCTATTGTGAACTGACTAATTACGAACTGTCACTTTAGGATTGTGAAAGAAAGTTTATTAAAGAAAGTTGATGATGTAGTATTCTTTCAATAATCGTATAAAGTATCCTATAAGAAGGCACTTGAGATAACAAATTCTTCGGGATAAAGTATCCTATAAAAAGGCACTTGAGATAACAAATTCTTCAATAAAAATAGTGATAAATCCTTGGGATGGTCAATGGTACTACAATTCTCGAACCACTATTGTGTTGTACTACTACAATGTTACAAGTACTAACATTTTTGTACTACTCCAAATGCTTCCCTTTAAAGCATTTCTCCATCGATCTTTTCTAAGATTTGGCATATCAACTCAACCCAAACTCAAACTAAATCCTTTCCCAAATGGGTTTGGTAGATCTTCTTTAACAGACTTTGATCACGACACCCCTAAATTTATATAATTGGAGTGGCTGATAATCGAGTGTCCACTGAACCATTAATGCGATTTAATATTTACAAATATAAAGATATAATGGACAGTTATTAAATCTATAGTGGAATTTAATATCGGATACTTTTGTTTTGTGCCTAGAGAACAAGCGTGAAAGTATAAATAATTTTTTAAAAAATTATTATATTTTCACTTTATTCTTTTTTGATTTGGTTGATTCAAACGGTTTTCTCGCTATTGAAGTTGATGACAGTAGTCGAATGTCCACTGAATCATTAATGTAATTCTATATTTACTATTATAAAGTCACGATTATGATTGTATATTTAGAAGCATGCTTATAAGAGTATTATGCTCTCTTTTTTTTTTTTTGTATTTTTTTTCTTTTGAATACACGCTGTCATTAAAATCTTAAATAATTTTAATAACAAGTTTTTTGTTTTTATCATATTCTTTGTTCACTTGAGTGTTATTTATTGGTTTGTGTTGATATTAAAAGAATTAATAATATGAGAAAAAGAGATCTATTTAAAAAAAAAAAAAATGAACTTCAATTGCAATATTATTGAATTAGGCTTTAATTAAATTAAAATAGACATTTTTTTTTTTTAAATGCCAATAACTCAATTAGAATTTAGCCCAACTCAACCTTTTGTCTTGTAAAGGTTGAGAAGAGATTGGATTGTTGAGAGTATTTTTAATTTATTTTTTTTAAACGTTTTAAGCACTAAAAAAAAATATATATATATATATATGTATTTCAAAATATAAAAATACAGAAGTTGTCTGAAATATCTTAAATATTTAAATTAAATTAAACAATTCAATTTAAATATCACATAATAAAAAAAATAGGATTAATAATAAAATAACAAAAATTCCTCTCAGGTTTCTAAAATAATAAAATTTTTCCATTGTAAATGAATTTTTAAATCGCCAGTAAAATTCACTCTGACAAGAGTTCATAAATACTCATATCTTTTATTTTAACACCTAAATTCAGGAGATTAATGTCATTAATCCGTAAAATATTAATTAACTTTAATTTCTTACATTATGACAATAATAATATTACGAAATTTTTTACTCCGATATTTATCAGTTTCAAAAAAGTTTCAATTAAAGAAATAATATGATATTAAATTTTATTTTATTTTAAAAAAAAAAACATAAATTCTACTACACGTGAGAACCGTCCCATATAAGTTGGTATCCCGAAAACAAGAGGCGCGTACGCAACTAAAAAGGTGCGACCCACCTTCAAGAAGGAGGATGAGGACAAAAATTGACTTATCGGTATCTTAACCCGCGACTCTCTCTTCCTTTCTATAAAAGCCGAGACACCTCTTATCAAATATCATCGCCGTTTCTATTTCTTTTTTCTTCGTCATTTCAAACTTCGAAAGCCATGTCTCAGGTATCCTCTTTTTCTTATATTTAATTAAATCTCTCTGTTTCTGCCTTTTAATTTGGGTTATTAATTTCTATGCGGGTTCATGTTTGATTCTTCGAAGCAGTTTGGCCATGTTTCTCGTATTTTATTCTGGGTTGAAATCAAAATTTGGCCAATTTCATAATAACTTTGGATTGAATTAACATGGGAATGTTTAGATTCATCTGAATTATAACTTTTTTTTTTTTTTTTTGGGCTGAAGATCTTGTAATTGATTACAAATTAGTAGGCCTTGTGCAATTTTTAAGGGGGTTTCGATCCCTTTTTCATATTTGTCTTTCAATTTTTGATTTGGGATAACAATAATTCTTTGTACCTATTGGTTTTGAGCATATTTCTTTAAGGATTGTGTGAACTTTTATTTGTGTGTGATTGAGAATCAAGTTTAACGTTCTAATTTGGAAAGTCTATTCCCTGATTATTTTGTGCTTCGTTTATATGGAACCTCACTTTATTTTTGTGTTTGATTGCAGACCGTTGTCCTGAAGGTTGGTATGTCATGTGAAGGCTGTGTTGGAGCAGTCAAGAGAGTGTTGGGCAAAATGGACGGTGTGTTTTTCCTGTGTCATTTCTTTATTTCATTGCTTATATGAATTCGCTCTTGAAAGTTTTTGATAATATAAAAACTGAATTTCATTACTTAAAATTTAAGTAGCTTTGTATCTTTTTTATGCATATTAGAGAACTTTTGTGTGGTTGGTTTAAATCTTTTGTGTATAGCTAAGCTGAATTGTTAGTGAGGTTTGCGTTGAGACTGGAGCATTTTTATGTCATCTCGTATAACATTTATTCATATTAAATTATTTGCTATGCAATCATCATTGGGTATTTTTGGTTTGCTTTGCTGGTTTTCTGTTATTATTATCCTGTTTGATAACAGTCGCCGGTGTGTTTTCCGTTGCTATCTTCAGGTGTGCAGAGTTTTGATATCAATTTGAAGGAGCAAAAGGTGACTGTGCAGGGCAATGTGCAGCCTGATGCTGTTCTTCAGACTGTGTCAAAGACTGGGAAGAAGACTGCGTTCTGGGAAGAGGAGACACCAGCAGCAGCACCAGCGCCAGCGCTGGCAGAACCAGAATCAAAGCCTACTGAACCAGAATCAAAGCCTACCGAAGCTGTCGCTGCTTCTTAATGTCAGCAATCCATTTGCTTTGTGGGAATACATCTTTTATTAATGGTTTGGACCTCGGTGAATTTACTATGAATTTGTGTGGACTGTCAAATATGTATTGCACTTCAACTTTGAAGCTACAATAAGTTCTTGAGTGCTTTTCTTCTGTATTATCATCTAAACAAAATACAAGTTCCTTTAGATATTTTCATGTCTTGTCTCTGCCCACCATTAACATTTTGGTAAATTTTTTTTTTTTTTTTTTTCTGTGGGTGAATTTGGGCGTTGTGCAATATGTAAAGATTTTTGGAACACGGCCACAGGTTCTATTTGGATTCTCACTGTAACAAGCTTGGCAACCGGAGAAAAGTTTTCCAAATAATCCACCCCATAAATTTGATTGTAGCCTTTGGCCACTAATCTGGCCTTGTATCTGTCTACACTGGTTTAAGTTTAATTTTATAAACCTATTTTGTGCCAGTTGGTTTTTTTTTTCAGGTGGTAATGGAATTAATTCCCAAGTATGGTTAGACTCTAAAGCATCAAGTGCAGCATTCATAGCTTTAATCCAAGCAGGATGTTGGCAAGCTTGATGATAAGAAGTAGGTTCTTGGATTGCTGAGACATTAGCTAAGAAATTGATATATGTGTGTGATAAACAAGGAAGATCAATGTAAGGGTAAGTTAGAGGTGCATGTATTGAAGAAAAATGAGATTTATCAACATATGAGAGTTGTTGGGAATTATGATAGTGTAGCACATAATTATTCATCCATTTTGGTGGCTGTTTAGATCTAAGACTTTGCCTAGGTAGAGAATGTGCAATTGGAATAGGTGAAATGTTACTAGACTGTGAATGCAAGTCTATATGATCAGGAGAAATTTTCAGGAAGCAATTCATCAGTAATAGGTTTAGTATGCATAACAGTATCAACTCTAGGTGATGAATGAGTTTCTAACTCAGTAGAGGGTATAGAATCAGAAATGTCAAAATCAGACGTAGATTGTGGGTGAGATGTGGCAGGTAAATAATCATTTTCTGTAGGAAACAAATCTTTAAGATCAGAAGGAATTAGTGGCACACATGAAGAATTGATTGCAGTAGAATCAATAGAGAAAGGAAACATATGTTCAAGGAAAAATACATCTCGAGAAACAAAAATTGTTTTAGAAGATAGATCATAAAGCTTAAAAGCTTTCTGACCTTGACTGTAACCAATGAAACAACACCTATTAGCTTTGGGTGCGAATTTATCCTTGTGTGGCAGTGTATAGGTTGCATAACAAAGGCAACAAAAAACCTTAAAAAAATCATAGGTAGGAATCTGTTTATACAGTAGTTCATATGGGGATTTCCACTGAAGGACTGAGGTTGGTAACCTATTAATGATATGAGTTGCCATGAGAATGGCATGATCCTAAAACATAACATGCATATTAGCTTGAAAAATCAGGACTCTAGCTACTTGAAGTAGATGTCTATGTTTTCTTTCAACAATACCATTCTGCTGAGGTGTGTAGACACATGTTTTCTGATGAATAATGCCTAATGTATGAAATAGTTGCTGACAATTAGAATTGAGAAACTCAGTTCCATTGTCTGTTCTAATGCTTTTAACTTTAGCATCAAATTGGGTATCTACAAGATGAAAGAAATTTTGCAAAGTAGTGAATGTTTGTGTTTTGTGAGAAAGGAGAAATGTCCACACTGCCCTACTGTGATCATCAATAATGGTCAGCACATAATGTGCTCCTGTAACAAATTTTACTTTATAAGGACCCATAGATCCAAATGAAGTAAATCAAAAGGTTTAAGAGATATGGTTCGACTTATAGGAAAAGGTAACCTAGACTGTTTTGCTTTGTGACACACATCACAATCTGAAAAAGATGCATAAATAGATTTATCAATAAACTATAACTGATGCAATGCATTCAAAGAGCTGTGACCAAGTCTCTTATGCCAAAGAGATAATAAGCAATGATCTACTTTATTAGCAGAAAAAGAAATGTTACAAGCAAGAGATAAATACTTAGTTGATATAGCATGTGTTTTTGTCTTATTACATGTAGAAGAATTCCTAAAATGGAGACTGTTTTTGTCCAGAATGTATAAATTCCCAACTGCTAATATTTCTTCATTTTGTAGGTCCTGCAAAACACAATGTTTTGGATAAAAGGTAAACTTAAGATTGGCATTAGCAGTGAGTTTGGGTACTGAAAGTAAATTAAATTTGAAAGATGGAACATGTAGGGCATCATGAAGGGTTGGTTTAGAGTTTAATAGGATGTTTCCAATATGGTTCACAAATTTTATGGTTCCATCTGGTAAATAGACAGGTGTAGGTTTGGTTACAGGTTTCGGTGAGTTCATAAGTTTCAAATCAACACACATATGGTTTGAAGCACCTGCATCAACAATCCATGTTCCTACTTCTAAGCAATCAATAACTTGTAAGCTATAATTCATACCTGCAAAGTCCCTTAGATGAGCAAAGTTCACCTGATTATTTTCCAGCTGCATTTTCCCTTTCATCAGCTTCATAACCTCCTGTTGTATAATATCAGTGAGAGATTGTCCCTGCAATCCTTTCTTTTCTTCTTCACCAATGTCCTCAAAATTCAAAGGAGAATCCATCATCTGTGCTGTCATTGCCCTACCCCCAGTATTGGCTTTACCCTGCAAACCTTTCATCCCTTTATATCATTCTAGATAACCTATGATTTTGAAACAAAATTCTCTTGTGTGTCCATTTTGGTTACAAAAATCACAGTGTTTATCAGCATTCCTCTTCCTATTTTCCTGTTTATTCTTATTTCCCCCATTATAGTTACTGCCATTGTTTCCATACTTCTTTGTTGAATTATTTCCTTGATTCATCTGTGCCTTAGCAAACATAACAGAGACGCTACTTGAATCTGAAAAATTAATATGAACCTCCCTTTGTTTTTCAACTTTCAAAGCCATAGAATAGGCTTTATTAACAGTATGTAATGGTTCAAGTACTAAAATTTGGCTCCTTAACTAATCATAGGAATCATTAAGCCCCATCAAGAATTGCATCAAACGATTCAGAGAATTAATATCATTCATCTTCTTTCCTGATCCACAACTGCAATCAGGAACTGGCAAAATGCAGTTCTACTCATCCCAAATTTTTTTCAATTTAGTATAATACTTCGAAATTGTCTCATTTCGTTGTGACACTGAAGCAATTTCCCTCTGAATTTGATAGATCAAAGGTCCATTGCTTTCACCATAGTGTTCCGTAAGTTCATTCCATAGTTCTTCAGCAGTAGATGCATAAAGAAAATCACCTACTATGTCACTTGAAACAGAGTTCAAGAACCATGACCTAATCATGCAATCAACCCTTGACCAAAGTTCAAAACTATCTGAATCTTGTTCTGGCCTAGAAATTTTTCCATTAATAAACCCTAACTTCTGTTTTGCACCTAATACAATTAAAATTGATCTACTCCATGCTAGATAGTTTTCGTTACCTGTAAGCAGAAAATTCACCAGTTTCATGCCTGGATGATCCAAATTTTGCAGCATCATGGAATTCTTTCCATTATTCGACTCCATTTCTTTCAAAACTGAACTTTCGTTGGAGTTTGCTGGTGATTCTCCAGCTCTAGTATTACTTGACTCTCTCACCATGTCGAGTAATCAATCAATAAAAACAAAGCTTCAAGAGCTTAAAGAAGATTCAGAAGAAAATAGTATATCTTTCCTGCTCTGATACCATGTTCGAACATAGAAAAGAAAAATTTCTGAATAATGCTCATTGCTTTCATTTATTTGCAAGAGACTTTATATACAAAGCTTAGCTCACTAATCACTGACTAACTAACTAATTAAATAACTAATCCAGCTAATTAAAACTGACTAACTAACAACTTAACAAACCAGCTAAAATAAGCTAAACGTGTTAAAGTGTTAAACTTGTTGAATCACATAAATACCCCTTCCAGATTTAATTCCTACACTCTGAATTGCAAGAGATATTTGAATAAGCAGTAGTTATCTTTCAGATCACAGTAATCTGTAGAGCCAGTTTCAGTTTGATCGTTAAACTAGTTCAGTAGTGTCATAAGCATATCATTTGCCATTATAGTCGCATTTAGAATATGCAGGCTTGAAGCCAGTTGTGTCGTGCGTTTAATAAGAAATTGAGCCAGAAGAATGTGGGGTATAGCATGAAGATCCCTTTCAGGAAAAGATGTGATGAGAGATGATGGGCTTTGCATTTTTTTTTTTTAATATATTTGATGTTTAATTTGTGAAGCTCCTTGTCTCTGTGGTACTTTTAAGAGTTTTCTACCAAGAGTCTTCTGCATATAAACTGGACCAAAGTCACTGAAAAGGCTTGCAAGTTATTATATGCAATTTAACATCAGGGTGGCCAAACAATTACCATACCACCAAAAAAAAAAAAAAAAAAAAAAAAGACGGGTTACTAGACCTTAGAGATGCTATCAGAAAATCATGGAGTTTATGCATGTGGGAAACTATGATAGCCGACCTAAGCGGAACCAATCAACACAACGATCGGTCGAAATGATGGTCAAGGCCCTCCTTTTATCCCACACACACGTACACCCACACAACTTCTAACATCATCTAAAAGGGCTAGTGAATATTAAACAACAACATAAATGGAGAACATGAATATAAATGAAAAACATGTACAGAAATGAAGAACAAGAACATAAATGAAAACATAAATATTAAATATGTTAAATAACATAAATTAAAAGCATATATGGGATCTTTTGCTATCTATAACATTATCAGAGTATTACAACACCCTTGAGGTTGAGGGAAAGTTAGAAATATGAAAGAAACATGGAAGAATTGTAGTAAAGATGTGTAGAGAAAGTATGGAAGTGTAGAGAAAATATGGAAGAGAAAAGTGAGAGAAATAAACAAAAGTTTGTATAAGTTCCTCCTCCTCCTCGAGAAGGTAAAAGGCTTTATTTATAGATAAAAGGGATACAACCACTCATAAATAAGTCATTAAATAAAATACTAACCTTTTTTACCCTTTTTTTTTTTTTTTTAAACATTAAGTAGCCTACAATCCTTGACAAAACATAAGCTTACATTTTTTATCTGCAAGTCTGGTCGTTGACAAACCTTTGTCAGCTGTTTAGAACGCTTCAGATAATGGTCAAACAATTGTTTTTGAGAATAGAGCTTTTCTAGACCAAGAATAACAAACTGATAAATTTCGCCAAGAGAAGTGGACCCAAGTTGTTTGTTCTAGGACTGCATAAGCTTGGTTGCTTCATGACTTAAGGATTCAGAAATTGATACCAAAAAGGCTTGCTTCATGTTAGGATCATCCATACCCCTTGGTATATGATATCGTTTTACCATCTCTTTGTAATGCCTGTCAAGATCTTTCTTTTTCAGAGAATAGCATCGCATCTTAAAATATTCTTCTCTGACCTGGTTCTCATAAAGGTGAGGTAATCCACAGAATTCATCATATAGGAGATACAGAGCTTGGTTAATATCTGGCATTTGGATGAACAAATTTTGTCTATACTCCTGAAGAGTTATCCACCAATCACGGAGAATGCCACCAAATCTAGTTGTAAACTGCGTAAGTACAGTAAAGACTTGGGCATTAGGTTTCAGCATCTCAGCTTGTAACCGGGCCTAAAATTCATACATTCGAGTTCTCCATTTGTGTGGAGGAAGATCATCGACGGTAAAAGTGTGGAGCTTTGCTGAAGCTGTATAAGAGTCACGTTCAACCGTAGTATGACGAGATTGTCGATACATAGGCGAAGAGTCTGGAATGGAATCATCACCTTCAGGCATCTCATCATCGACCTCAGAAACAACAGGTGGTCTTAATGATTCAGGTTGATGGGTCATCAGTTGGGGATAAAGATTAGGATGTTGATCAAAAGTATTACTGTCAAAGTCAAAGCCACTTTCAAATGATTCATCAGTCAAAGGTATATCGACTTCTGATTCTGTTTGGAAGGTAGATAGAAAATCCTGAGAAATACCCGAATCGGTAAGACGTTTCCTTTCTGCCATGTCTCCAAGAAAAAACTCATAAAATTGGAAGAGACGGGATTTTTTGAAGAGTCGGGATTAGTAGAAGGTTGGCGGTCTTCCATCATCATGATTTGCATTGGAGCCTTATCCTTAGATAAATGACAATGAGGCTTAGGAGATGGAGGATCCGAGTGATTGGAAGAGAAAGAGTCAGGAATATCAGCGGATGGGGTCTGTGGTCTAGCAGAATACTTTTCTCGCTTCTTTTGTTCTCGTTCCAGCTTGATCTTTTCATCACGTTCTTTACGGAGTTTGGCATATAATTGTTCAGTGTTGCCAAAAGTTTGAACAACACCAGAAGGTATATGAGGTGAGACCAAAGGTTCGCTAATTTTTGGGAAAGGGGAAAAAGAGGGTTGTGGCCATGTTGTTGTGGAGTCAAAAAGGGTTTGGTACCAATGGCATTTCAGGGAAAGTCTGTGGTTGTCTAAGTTTTTGCTTAAGATATTCCTACTTAAGCAATGCCATTTGGGTTTTTAATGACTTCATTTCTGCTTCCTTCTGGAGAAACTGAGCTGAATAGCCATGAGAGGTGCTAACAATGTGCATTAATTCCTGATGGAGCTAATCAATCCGGTTTTGGAGATGATCAATTTGTTTTTGTAGCCGAGAAATCAGCATAGTTTGGTTTTGAGACTGAGAGTCCACCTGATGAGCTTCCAAATCCAGTTTTTGTTCAATTCTGGTAATGGTTTTGCTTTGGGCTAAAGCAATTGCATTTTCAATCTGCCAATTGAGAACTGCTTCAGCTTGGGAGAGTTTGGGTATGGATCCATCAGGCTGTATAACTTTGGAAGGAACCACTTTTGGTTGTTGAGTGGCAGTTTCTTGAAGAGAAGGAAAATCTTTGCCATAATTGAAATGTTGTCCTGTCTTTGTGGGCTCAGGGATTGGATCATCATAACGGACTGAACAAGTGGAGTTTGAGCAAGGGGTGAATGGGTTGGTTTATTTTCTTTGGCAATCCACCTGAGAGATTGTTGATAACATGGTAAAGGCTATTTGAAGTAAGGTGATTTAGCAGGTTTGGATAGTTTTAAAGGTGATTTGGGTTGAGGTTTCGGAGGGATGTCCCATGAGGGATTAATGGATGGTGAATCTTTCCTGGCTGGTCGAGAATATTTGACATAATAATCAAATTTACCAGACGGTTGACCAAGAAGACCAACTTCAGGATCATGGCCTTCAAATCAGGAATGAAGATCTGTTTGACTAAAGCGAGCTATCTGTTTTTTCCGTCTGAAATAGTTTCGTCTTGGAAGATAATGCTCATCTATTTCCCAAATAGGATCACCACGGCATTCCAAGCATTGGCAGTCAAGATCAAATGGGCTGTGACCAGTGACTAGATCATATTGATGATAGACAGGAGCACCAGATTGTTGAAATGAATGAATGGAAAGTCCAGGTTCCCGGACTGCTATAGTGGGTATGACCGAAGTAATCATGAATTGAGTTTGTCAGAAACTCAAAGGTGGAGCACTGGGAGTTGCTGGAGACTTAAATTTGATAGTTGTTGTTCCTTCACTGTTATCATGCATGGTAGATTCTGTAGAAACCACCGGAGTTTCTTTTTTATTAAGAGACTCGTAACTCGTCACCCAAGAGTCCGGTAACAATTTAATCAAATCATCTCTGGAAATTTGCCTGGGAATATTGATGCAGTGAGGAGTATTCTGAGAGTTAACAGTAAGGAGCAGTGCATCAGTGGTCGTAGGGATAGCGAGATCAAGCGCATGGTCTTGGATTCGCCAAACCATTTGATAATGCAAAGTAGTTGCAATACTCCCTGGATTTAAATCAGCACCAACTATCTGTAATTAAATTTTAAGAGCCTTAGAGCAATGAACATCAGAGAGAGACATGTTGAAATTTGGAAACAGTGTCAGAATGACTGTCCCAGCATTCAAAGTTGTTGGTGTTGTCCTACACAAGCATGTTGATATTGGACAAATCTGGTATTCAATAAAGCAATTCGAATAGAGATTGGGAGTCCTTTTCTGCCATGATAGGATAGAGCGAGCCGGATAGCGCCAAAGTGTATATGAGAGTATCCTTCACGGATCCATTGAGTAATGGATTCTCGAGGAATTTCCAAAGTAACATATTATTCTTGGGTTGTGGCTAGAATTTGACACTTGTGAAAAGTACTAGTCTGGACATACTCTTTGATTGGCTTTCCGGAAGGTCTGACAAGAGTTTTAAAGGTTTTAGACAAAGAAGATGATCCTAAATCTTAGGGGTATGGATGATCTTAACATGAAGCAAGCCTTTTTGGCATCAATTCCTGAATCCCTAACTCATGAAGCAACCAACTTTATGCATGTGAGAAACTATGATAGTCGACCTGAGCGGAACCAATCAATGGATATAATTGTTAAACGTGATCCTTTATCAAACAGGTTTGCAAGTCGTTTCCAACACAAATAATTAAATATGATTAAATAGGTCGTATCCAAGTTAATAATTAAATAGGTAGTATGTTAATAACTTAATCCTACTTATTTAATACGACACAAAGCACGCATGATAAAAGATAATACTACACTCACAATCTCTTTTCACAAACTTTCTTTCACAATCCCAACGTAACAGCTCACAATTGGTCAGTCGTAATTTAATTAATCTTTAGGATTCAATGGCCTATTGAACACCCTATAAGTCTAATGTTCTAAGGTAAGCCACAAATATAGTGTGTGGTCTCAAAGTGATTTCTTAACTTCCAAACTAACCCTTGATGTTCTGGCACAGCCTTTTTACCGCCCCTATACTTTACAAGTAACATATTCAACATGATAGTAAAAAAATTAGACAATGAGCATCATCACAAAATGCATTCCCAAATTACACATAAGGAAGGCCCATAATTACACATAAGCCCCTGCTATACCTTCTAATATTTTTTATTGGACATATTTATGAATCTTCTACTCTCTGAATGTCACTCTCTCGTCTTCTACGCCACTTCGGCGACACAAAATGCATTCCCAAAGGTCGAGCACTTCACGCCAACATCATCACATCTGGGTTTCACCCAGATGTTTACACAAACAACCATTTGCTGTTAATGTATCTAAAATTCAACACCATTAAAGACGCTCAAAAAGTGTTTGATAAAATGCCTGAACGAAATGTCATATCTTGGAGTGCCTTAATTTCCGGATTTTCTCAAAAGGGTATGCCCAAAACAGCTTTATTTTACTTTAGGTTAATGGTTTTTGATGGGTTTGAGCCGAACTATTATACTTATGTTGGGGCTGTTTCTGCTTGTGCTCGTATAAGTGATGGGAGAACTGGTAAGGAGATTCACGGGAAGATATTTAGGAGTGGATTGGAGTTGAATAGTCATGTTAGTAACTGTTTGATTAATATGTATGGGAAATGTGGTTTGTTGAGGTCGGCGCAGTTTGTTTTTGATGCAACTTTGGAGCCAAATTTGGTTTCTTGGACTTCACTTTTGTCTAGTTATTGTCAGCATGGAGAACATGTACATAGTTTGAATCTTTTTGCATTGTCGAGGAAGGCAGGAGTGGTTGTTAATGAGTTTTCTGGTGCTAGTGTATTGGGTGCTTGTGCTGCATTGGGGAACTTGAAGGTTGGTATGCAAGTTCATTCATTAGTATTGAAGTGTTGTCTTGAGTTTGATAAATTTATTGTGACGGGTTTGATTAAGTTATATTCAAAGTGTGGAGAATTGGACATGGCTTGTCGGGTGTTTCTGGAGGTAGAGCAGCCAGATTTGTCCGCTTGGAATACATTCATAGGAGGATATGTTCAACTAGGCAAACTAGGAGAAGCCATTGATCTTTTTGTCAAGTTGTATTGTTCAGGCCTTGTTCCTAGTGAACGAACATTTTCATGTGTGCTTGGAGCCTTTGCAGATACAAAGGATGTTGAAGCTGGGAAACAACTTCATTCTTTGATAATTAAAATGGGATGCAATTCGTTTACATTTGTTAGTAATGCAGTTTTGGACTTCTACTCAAAATGTGGACTTCTTCAGGAGTCGATGAAAACTTTTGAAGAAATGGATGATCATGATATTGTCTCGTGGAATACCCTCATATCTGGACATGTTGGATCCGGTCATTATGGAGAGGCCATTGAACTTCTGAAAGATATGCTTTCTGATGGACATTACCTAAATCTCTATACTTATTCTTGCATTTTGAGTATTTGTAGTGATGTCCCAGCTATTGGATGGGGCAAGCAAACGCATTGCTGCATAATAAAACCTGGATTTGATTCCAATGTAGTTGTTGGAAGTGCCCTCATAGACATGTATGCAAAATGTGGAAAATTGCTTGATGCTCGTAAAGTTTTTGATTTTCTAAATTCAAAGAACTTGGTTACTTGGAATATTATGCTTGCGGGATATGCTCAACATGGATTAGGGAGGGATGCATTAGAAATATATAGCATGATGCAGAGAAATAAGATCAAACCTAATGATGTTACATTTATTGCGGTATTATCTGCCTGTGGACACATGGGACTTGTGGAGGAAGGATGGCATCATTTCAATTCCATGATCAGAGACCACTTTATTGCCCCAAGGATGGATCATATGGCAGCTATGGTCAATCTTTTTGCCCGTAACGGACAAACAAGTAGAGCTTATGAATTTATAAAGAGTTTTCCTATAAAGCCTGATAAGGTGGTTTGGCGATGTCTCTTGTCAGGTTGCAAAACCCACAAAGATGTAGTTCTAGGAAGATATGCTGCGGAGAAGATTTTGAGTATTGATCCAGAAGATACTTCGGCTCATATCATGCTGTCAAATGTGTATGCAGAAGCTAAAATGTGGGATGAAACTGCCCAAGTTAGAAAAATAATGAAAGAAAAAGCATTGAAGAAAGATACTGGATATAGCTGGACTGAGCTTAAGAACAAAATACATTATTTTTCTGCAAGTCATGTTGCAAAATTTCAAGGAAATGACCTGCGTGAAATTATGAACGGTTTGACAGCTCAGTTGTTTGATGCAGGATATAAACCTGATGCCGTCTTCTCATTCCACTGTGAGGAGTAAGCCTTGAAGTTTGAGGGGAAATATTTGGTGACAATGCATTTCACTTAAATGGTCCGTTACATGTGAGAAAATATGCCACATGAATTCATTGTAGCTGATATATATATTTGACATACAAAGTAGAGGAACAAGTTAGAAGTATAGATGACTCCTAAACATGAGGTCACATTATAACGCATAACTTTGCTAAGGATTTGTGATCAGCAGGAATTTCAGAGGTTTGTTGTGTTGCAGCATCCCTGGGTGAGAGGTTAACATATTCCAGAGCTTGTGCTCTTAAATTCTGAGGGTAATTAGCAACACACCCGATTCTTGGTCCTGCTCCTGTTGACCATTTCAAAGATAGTTGGTTCCCTAATTGGTATGAACTCGCTTCCTTTTTGCTTTGAATCCTCTGCAAGATCTCCTTCTTTTGCACACTTGTCCTTGGGTTCTGCAGATTGCTGGATAAGGTTCTTTTGTAACTTATTGTTCTCCCAGTTCGAGCATATGCATTTGACTTAAAGGTTTGTTTTTTGTCAACTGCACTAGAAACTTGTGGTTTGGGTGCTTCAGGACCTATCAAATCTCCATATTTGCTGGTATCACTGCTCTCATTATCTTCACTAGGTGAAAATACCTGACTCGATTGGCTGAAGTCAGAACAAGATGAAGCAATAAATTTAAGCATCTGGTAGATATTCACTGCACTATACCGTACATGGGTTCATGGAAAAAAAAAATGGTGAAATGATGACCCTAATAGCCTGAAAACTTAAAAAAGCACAATCTACTTCCCTCATTTCTTAGTGTAGAAATGGCTTCCTGGGTAGCATATTCATTGAACAAGATGGATTATGAGTTACATACCTTGACTTCATCAACATTGATTTCATTCTCCTTTAGGAAGGCCAAGAAGCAGCCAAGGTTCTCATTTGTCGGGCGGTAATGTCCACTGTATGCTGATACAGACTGAAAGTCATAAGAACATGTTCATGATTCAGTTGCAAGAGATGTGTAATTCTACAGGAACATTTAATACAAGTTGAAACTTAAAGTACACAGACTATCTCCTTATTCAATCTAAAATTAAAAAGGGAAGCATTGTTTTGAATCTTGTCTTTTGATCTGCTATCAACATTTTTTTATCCTCATGAACTAATATCAGGTCGGTTATCTTTATGCAAGGGTGATTTTTTTTTTTTTTTTCAACATAAAAATATGCATCATAAGTTATCGTGTGGTTCTGTAGAATCCTTGTCTCAGGGACTGCTTTATTGTTGTATTGACCCAAAAATGTAACCTAGAGAATATGGCTTTACTGATTCATGTTACTTTCAGATCAAACAGAATCATTTGTGAGATTTTCTTTATTGACAACTAGGAATAATTGTTAATCGTGTTAGCAAGATGATCTTAGAGAACTATTAAATCAAGCTGAACTATAACCACCTTTTTATACTTTGAACTCTAACTAAGCTGAACTGCACCATCAGAAGTTACACATGTTAATGAATACAGTCATCAAATGCTGACTTCAGTTGTTGCTTATACTCTTTTTAATGTTCAGGAAAGAACAAACTTCAGAGGTTTATTAGATCATAGCATATAATTGTGATGTTATACCTCCTTTCTATCATCTGATACAAATGTCAATCTCATAATCTGTTTTCTATTTTGCTTGCATCTCTAGGTATCTGTTTAAGATGTATGCAGATTAGTATAATATTGACTGCTTGCTACTTATACCTTGAGCTTTCCATCTTGTGGCATCAGTCTTGCTGCTGCCAAAGTGGCCGCTCCAGCTAGGAAGCTGGAATGATGGAATAATCCCTTTTGTTTCTGATTGGAGAAGAAAAGGCATTAACGTTTGGTTGATGAGAAAAGTGTAGTGGTGCTTCAGATTGGAGAAAATTTATCAAACATATAGTTTAGTGTCCATATCAAGTCTTACCTCACCAGCATAAATTGTTTTGGAGGCACTCATCACAAATATCCATTTTGAACCGCGCAATCCATGATTTGTGTTGAGAAGGTTTCCAGTTTGTTTGTGCACAAATTTTCCTCCAACAATGATATACTGGTACTGTTTCCTCTCTTGCTTACATGGGGACCATAAAAACAGTGATAAGAAAGGTAGAAAACTGAATAAGAGCTCGCATGAAAATTCAGTCTGGACTCTGTTGAAATCAGCACTCCTTTATGCTTCTATTGGTACTTGAAACTGAAACTTTTCTGGCAGGATTGAGCCATTATAGACAATTAAATCTAAAGATAATTTTGGTTATAAAGTGTGGTGTGATGGTCTCTCATGAAACCCTAAGGCTAAAGGTGATAATGCATATCTATCAGAAATTTAAAGAGCAAGGTATACTTTCTTCCTTTTGCTGTAAAATTTCTACTGAATGATTTTGTTTCTAGAAAGCGTAAATCGTCTGGACTTTAGTAGAATTTAGAACTCATTGTGTTCTCAGATTGTAAACTTCGACTTCTATGTTTGATAGTTGGAAGCATACCGGTCCAAGATATTTAATGCATTCTTGCTGTAGCCTTGATCTTGGGCAATCCTTGAGATTAACCTCTTTGCCTTCTCCAATGTCTAACCTGTGTAAGTAGAGATATCTCGAGTATTTGCAACATAATGTTCCCATATATGCAGAAGAAGAAACACAACCAGATAAAATAAAGTAAAATTGAAATACTAGTTCTGCATAGAATGCCAAGGAAATGCAGAATTACGGGTACAGCACTCTCAACTTTTCTTGTGAAATAATAGTTTTGGGTAACTTGACTTGGGCCATCCTCAATGCTGAAATGTAACTTAAAAATCCATAAAATTTCCAAATCCTTCTGTCACTCTAGTTAGTTGAATTGTTCTTCTAACACCTAAAGTCATCATGTGAGTTATAGGAGAAACAAGTTGCTAATTAGGTGGTATTGAATGGTTTGTAACGGATTCAAGGTTTAGGTGGAATCAAAGTATAATGCTAAAACAGTTGCCTACAGTTAAGAAAATGACAAGGGCATTTTATGCACTCAGGAAACAAAATATTACCAACATTACTAAATGGTTCTGTTACATAGCATATATTTCTAGGAAACAGTTGTAAAATAGCATTCGACTTTAATCCTAAAACAGTTGCTGGATGTGAATATATATAGATATATTTTGTCTTAATGGTAGGTGAAAGAACCTGTCAGGATTAAAGTACATAATACGAAGCCCTTTATACATAGTCTTGCAGAGTGTATCATTAGAGTAATAGCCCTCGTAACTTAGGCTTAGACAACTCTAGATGAAGAAACAAGAAGTCAAATTAATTTTCTGAATTCTACTATGTGCCTGATTGACTTTCAGATGTCTAACTACTTGCTTTTTCTTGATCTGTCTTTTCCTCGCAACCCTACCAGAGCGTGAATGGCTGTCAAGTCTGACTGTGCAGATGATACAAAGTGCTGTTCTTAAACATTATACCTATCAAAACTTCAATGCAGTCTCCACTAATTGAATTTAGAGTATCTTCAAATTCTTTTTAGATGAGGTAAACTTATAAAGAATTTATCCATAAAAATAAAAGCTTAAAAGAATATTTATTCTTTAAATATAAATTAAAAAGTAAGATTGACTCTCTACATATAAAGCGTTAAATTTTATTCTTTATCCTAATTTTAAATAATAAATTATAAGTTTTTATGTATTTTATTTATGATTTATCTTTGCTGTTAAGTTTCTTTCTTGAAAAAATATATTCTCTTTTCTAAAATTTAAAGAATTTATTGGATTTGAATAAAAAATTTGTTCTTTGTATTTAAAAATCAATAAAGATGTTCTTTATTTATATAAAATGTGCTCTTTAAAATAAAGAGCACCATTAAAGATGCTCTTAGAGGTTAAGGTGCATTCTTTTTTGTCTATTCAGCTCAGCAGGGGGAGAAGAAATGAGGTTTTACTCATTTCCAAGATGCTCCTCAAGTAAAGGAATCCTTATATAGGTGATTAGCTGTTTTTCTAATTTTCAAAAGACTTAACATAGTAATTGTACATATGAGTTGTCATTGCTTAAAATGGTATTTAATGCACATTTTTATTTAGCTACAGATGTTATTTGGTTTTTCTTGATTCTGTGGTGCCTTCTAATATGATCAGTGCTTGATAACTCTTAATGCAAAGCCATTAAGATTTTTTGGGCATTATGTGCTGTCGGCAGTTCAAATGCTGAACCTAAATGTGTTGTACAGCAAGTTAGATGTGGAGATCAATCAGAGAAACAAACTGAGGAATTGAATAGGAATCTATGGTAGAATCGCAAGGACAAAATTCACAGTTCACATTATAAGGAGACATACCAGTAGAAAAATGGCTGCACTGTGTCCCTTTTACACCACTCTTCGTAGTACAAGTTCAAATTATGACCATATCGATGTCTTGGATCAATCTTTTCCACCATATGCATCATATTAATAACAACAATGATACAAGTAGAAAATTCAAGCTGAAGAATGAGAATAGATAGTGCAATACAGTCTTACAGCTTCAATCCAATGTTGGAAGGCTAGTTTTTGTGCCTTGGCATCTTTACTTAAACCTTTTCCAACCTGCCAGAAAGTCAAAATTCATGACATATTTTGTCATATTACATAATTACATTATTCTATTTTAACACCGCATCTCTTAAAGGGAGCTATGAGCATGCCTTTGAAGCGATTAAGCGGATCCTAGTCCAACGTGATGCTGCAGTTTCAGGTCTGTGAAAATTGAAGAAAGAGACTGTACTATGATTGAGCTTTGCATAATCTATAGCTTGCCACTTTTAAAGATTCGAATGCACCAATTTACATTAGAGAAAGAAAGAGTTGCATATCACACGATAACTTTTAAGAGGTGCTTACCACAGCTCTTCAGCAACAACTGCAGAATCTGCTAGCCTGCGACGCGTGCGGTAACTCCTGTATACTTTCTGCAACTTCACTGCAGCAGTCGATTCAAAACCATCGCTTATCTCTGGAGAATCCATCACCATCAATCGGCAATCCACAGAAAGAGCTATGAGTTTTCTACCAGCAGTACACAAAAGTTGGTTTCAAGAAAGCAACATATATAGTTTGGTATGAATATCTCTATCTCTATCTAACTTTCCAGTCAGTTTGCATCAAGTCCTTAAATTTATGATCCATGTGATGAGATTTAGAGTTCAACTTGCCATTAATGGGTGGGTGGTACAAGCTGCAGTGACATCCAGCTACACCTTTGCTTATGACTTGTGAGCAAGAAAGTGGCCTCCACACTTCCACCCAGGCCATGTCTTGTCAACACGCACTGCACTTTCAACTTCAACTAGTGCTTATTCCCACAAGTTTCTGCTGGCAAGGTAAATTTGGTCGACATCTTTTTTGGATTTTTTGATAGACTTTCCATGTAGATATCTTAATGTGCTGTGAACACATTAAGTTTAAGCGTTGCATCTGATTCTGCTTTACATTTGTGGCATAGTTTGAGGCCCTGGGGAGAATCCAAAATTTAGGTGAAAGAGATGCATATATGGACCAGGCCTAGTCATTTTCATTATCAATTCAGACAGATTTGATTGCAATAATATATGCCGTACCACTCATAAATTTGCACCAGCTGTTGCAAAAAATTAATTGGCATTTCCCATCTCCAAATTGAGCAATTGTTGCAATTTTGATTGAAAACCCTGCTATAACATTCAATTCTATAAGTACGATATTGTTTGTTTTAGGCAACATGAAACTGGCCATTATCAAATCTGGGGTCCAATTGAGTAGATATTATTAGTTTTGGGTTCTCGCCCATATGGGTTTGCTTTGGGTATTTGCGGGTGACATTCTTCACCCAAAACATCTACTTGTTGAGAGGATCAAGCATTATAAACTGAATCTCAAACTCATACACTAGTTACGTGTCTGCGTTACCTGTAAATAACTCGAATCTTTGCATGGATATACCAATTAATAATTGTTAACTAGGTCTACCAAAATTGGGTTTGGTCCCATTGATTTGATTTCTCTGCAACCAACTTGAAGAAATTAAGCCATCGTTTCACTCCTGTTTTGAATTTACACATATCTTTTGTATTGTACAGGAAAATTACTTCGAATTGCAATTACTAGAAAATGAATGACACAGCTGATTGCTATATAAGAGTTGGACCCTTCATCATTTAAGGCTCTATTGACTCCTTGTATAATTCACTCTACATTAATGTTATAGAATCAATTTCAGCCATAAGTTTTTAAATTTTTTTTTTTTTTTAGATAACTAAGATATCCAAACCCACATTGGAGTATGTCTAATCCTCAAGACCACGAAAGACCCTACAAACCCAATAGACCAAGATAATTGCATAAATTATATAATAGGTACCTCTTTTGCGACTCAAACACACCTACTAGGTATAACTAACCTCAATAGCTAAAGGGTTTACCATTCAATCACAAAGAGAGAGGTATTTTGTTAAAATTTATCTGTTGAATATTACTGCTGTAACCTATATAGGTTACCAAACTCTATTAACTGAAAGATTACATTATTGAAAGTTTTTATTGGTATTCTTTGATAAAAAAAAAAAAATTATGATAATTACTAAATATCAAGATGATCATCATCACTAATTTAAGGGGCGAATTTTCGCTTTTATTGAGGCTCAGCCCAACATGGTTCGATTCCTGGCGTTCTTGCAGCCCAAATCTAGAATCATGAATTGTTTTTGTGACATTGTGGTTGCGGGTGTTATTAACTACATTTTGTCTTTTGTTCTGTTTTACTCTTTACAGAGTCTGGGTTTCAGTCTCTTTGATGAGGAACCAGAATACTGACCATTGAGAATTAGGATTCCTTATTTTATGCAGAATGTTTGTCTTGATATTTGATTGCAATGAAAATATTGAGTGTTTTTAATTCAAAACTGGTGGATATGACTTCAGTTCATGAGTTTCATCAAATTTGATAGTTGATGTAAACAACAGCTTGGTTATGATACTGATAAACCTAAATTACTGACTGGGAATTTCAATGATCATTTGTATGCAACTTCATTGAATCACAAATTAAATTCATCTGGTAACAATGCTAAATCAAAGTATAACGTTATCCTAACATTACCAGATCAGTAACTTCCCTGACAAGATCATAAAAGTAGTCCAACTGCCAAAAATAAGTTTAATAAGATTCCGGAGCACCTTATTATCATAAAGTTTTCACATGACTTGAAAGGGAAGAAGGACCAGGAAAAACAGAAGCAGTTTCTGAATGTTCAAACGAAACACAGATATATCCAAACAAACAGATTACTAAGGTCTCTACTATCTGTATTATTATTCAGTACTCTGAAACCGTCCACATATCAAAGGGTGCGGTGCAAGCAACAGGACAGTAAGTTTGGATCTTCAGTGATGGGAGATGATTCTCCGCTCCAGCTGCACCACAAAAGATTCCACAGAAGAAAAATACTAATTAGAACAAACAAGTTCAGATTGATAACTATTGAAATTTCAATAATACAGGAATACAAGATTAAAAAAGCAGCAGTTTTGCGAAGGTTGGGGAGTTAGGAACCAGCGTAAAAGGTTTCTTGAGAAATTTGTGCTGGCTGATAATGACTATTGACAATATAAAGCTCACAATCAGACAACAAAGGTTATACACGACAAATAGTTTATTACTCGTCTCAGATCACACAAAAGAGATACGATAATCACAAGGAGTTAAGGTATGATAATCACAAAGTTATCTCAAAATCCCTAATATAATATATCTAATGCATTGGAGGATGACATATGGACAAGACGGAATGCTACAGCGATGACCTCATTAAAGCACAATGTAAAATGAGAAGGTATTTTTTTCACTTTACAAGATCATAAAATGCCATAATTATGATTAACTCAAGACATCTTAACAGTTAATTTCCTTCCAACTAAGATAATCAAATAGTGGAAAAACTCAGCAGCTGAAAGCACCAAAAAAAAAAGAACAAACGACAAAATTGACTTACAGACAAATTATAATACGACAAAAATGATGATCAAGATGAAATTATAAAATGACAATATTGATGACAAAGTCAAATTATACATGGCTTGCTTGTAGCACTTTCCGTATGTCATGGAATATAGTAGAAATGTAGAACTGGTCTTCGAAAAAGCAGCGCAAATTCAGTAAGAGTAATTAGAAGAACAGATTGCATTTAACTTGAAAGAAGCAAGTAATATGCTCAGCCAGAGCAAATATACACGAGAGACAATGCATACAAGTGTCATCTCAAGCAAAGCTCAAGATCATACCACCAGATTAAATGTACCTATTCTTATTAAAACCTTATGAGCATCAAGATCAAATATAACATATAAAAAAGGAAGAAAATCCACTATTAATTATCTATCTCCATGTATACGTATAACGTATTATTAAAATTTAAAGGATCCACATAATTACTTATATTCTAAAATACCTGAAGGATAGCGTCCATCTTGTCATTCAGCCTCAAAAATTCATGTTTGATTGCATCCACTGCTACAATGCACCTATAAATGACGGTATGGGAAATTAAAACCTAAACAAGACAGAAACCAAGAAAAATAATTTCATGTGCTATTAAATAAAGATTCATGAGGCTTACTGCTGCATTATAAATTAACAATTTTGACGCATGACAATTTTCTTTTCTAAGAGCATGTATTTATTACTAAATAGAAATAGTAGTACACGTTCAATGATGTTACGCAGTCCACCAGAAACTTAAAATAAAACAGAACAACATCATATATCATTAACAACAAAATCACAAAAAAAAAAAAAAATTCAGTCCGAATGAATGAATAGAAAAGGGATGCCCAAAAGTAGGAATATTTAACTAGAGATCGTATACGCTAGGCTTGCCACTATGGGGCGACAATGTGCCCTCTCTTATAACTATCTCGCTCTGGCAGCTAAAAGGAGATACCAGGTAGAGGGTGCAGGCATCACAAACATGCCATACAAGAACACTGTAACAATTAGTTTGAGCGCTTGGTGAGGAATCCTGCCATCTTAAAAACTTTTTAGCATCACCCAGTCAAACCTCTTTCAATCTCTTGGGCAAAGGGATCAATGGACAAATTGTTTCTTATAAAACAAGTGGAGCATTGAACATTCTGTATCTATTTGGTAGACTGTAGCAACAGCCTATTGATGTTATAAAATCTAGAGAAAACCCTCGTCGTACCATAAAAATAATGTTTCACTCAAATTATAGGATCTTTTCTTCCTCTATCTGCCCATTCTCCGGAATGAAATCATTGCCTGCCTTTGAGTAGGCCCCATGTTAATTTATCGGGAAATATGAAGAGTGAAAGGAGATAAATGTCTCTCTTATATTAAATAATGTATTTGATAATTTCCTTAAAGATTAGTTAGTTACATGTTCTCCCACACTAATCATCTACACACGCGATTCAACATATATATACCACAATGGTGATGGCCTCTTTCTCTACTAAACTAAGGGATCTTCTCTTTCGCCCACCTTGGATATTTCACTAACAACATCATCCTTCCACCTTCATGCAACATTGCTATTTGTGAAAGACACTCAACTGTACAGAGATTTCAGAAATTTGCATTTAGAAAAACAGTAAAAAAGAAAACAAGTATTCAACTATGTTACTTACTGCAGCACAAGATCCTAATACCGAGCAGTGGAAAATCGATAAGAAGAAAGTGACAGAATTTTATCCCGTGTGTGAGAAAAAAATTTCTTACCGTTCCTTACATTTGTCAATAACAGCTCGAAAAAGGTCACCAGATGCAAGTGACATTTGCTGAGCACCAATGCTGGACCACCAAATAGAGCAAAAATGAATAACATAATATACCTAATCATATATATTTAATCAAAGAAGCATAAGTGTCATCTACATAGAATAAAGGCATACAGAAAAATGTTAGGAAGTTGATTTATTTGTGCTACTTTAATAAGTGAAAAGCGAAACAAGGTAACTGAAGTATTTTGGTTCTGGACATTGACAAATCCTTTTATGCATCTTAAACAATTGTAGACAACACTTGAGAATCTGCGCTTCTCTATTTGAAAATAACAAATTCTAAAAGATTACCATAAAAGAAACCAAATTGAAAGTAAAAATCTTAACACAATTACTTCATCGAATAAATGACATTAACTACTCCAAAAAAGCATACCCAGTCTTAACGAAATTAGACTGTTAATGTTAGAAAGACCCTCCTTTCATAAAGGGTTTTTTGTATGCATGTAAGAGACTAAAGAAATACAATATTAAGTTAGCCTCAAATATTTGATTTATACGAAAAAAATGCAGGATCCAACCCCCTCTGGGAGTAAAAACTGCAATTTGAACAATGTTTCAACATCGGAAGAGCTAAACGACAAAAAAGAAAAACACCTAATAATTAGTCCCTGATCATTTTAGCGCCACGTGCAGGTAACATATAAGTTGATCGGAAAGATTCTTAAAAAACAATCATTATGCATATTCTCCATATAATGGACAAAAAAAGGTAAAAAAGGAATTAAGTATAACTTGATCAGAAGATCCTCAAAAGTCAATCATAATACATATTCTATATATGTCAAACTTAAATAAATACATTTCCACTTCTCAAATTATTACACAGTTACATAAGCAAACTGCTACATTACCAAGCTGATGCTCCTTTTATTTTCATGCATAATTCTTCCAGGAGATGAAAATCCACAACAGGTTTCTCCCTGCAAGGAAATTAATTACACACAAAATAAATTTTCCGTCGTAAATACAATAATCAATAACATAAACTGAAACACCATAATCATATAATAGATATTGATGTTGAAATGTACAAAATTTGGATCATCTCTCTTATAGTGGTTCGGGAATCAGAGCAGAAGGTTGGTATCAACTCAGCGAAAAAGAAAGGGCCATTAGACTCCTTCAAGGAATGAACCATTCGAAAACGAGGGTTCACCAAATCCTGCATCATAAAACAAATTAATTAATTAATGCAAAACATGATCATCTCCTAAAACATGCTAAAGCAACTGAGGACTTCTACCAAAAAAAAAAAAAAAAAAATCAACACATAAAAGATAATATCCATCCTTGTAAAAGAACCTGAAACAAACCAATCAACATCCATTGTATTCAACATAAAAACGTCATAGTTTAGACACAAAATAGTTAATAATAAGCTATAGAAAATGAGAATCATTACACAAATGTTTGCTTGCCAGAAAAATGAAGGAAACCATAAAGGGNCTCAGCGAAAAAGAAAGGGCCATTAGACTCCTTCAAGGAATGAACCATTCGAAAACGAGGGTTCACCAAATCCTGCATCATAAAACAAATTAATTAATTAATGCAAAACATGATCATCTCCTAAAACATGCTAAAGCAACTGAGGACTTCTACCAAAAAAAAAAAAAAAAAAATCAACACATAAAAGATAATATCCATCCTTGTAAAAGAACCTGAAACAAACCAATCAACATCCATTGTATTCAACATAAAAACGTCATAGTTCAGACACAACATAGTTAATAATAAGCTATAGAAAATGAGAATCATTACACAAATGTTTGCTTGCCAGAAAAATGAAGGAAACCATAAAGGGTCCTCTTCACATCAGCCACTCTCATAAAGCTGTAAAGTAAAACTCCAATTTCTTTTTCTTTATTTTTCATCATTTTCCCATAAAGTAACTCAGCAAAAATTCATCATAAAAAACTTAAAGATGAGACTATAAATGCCCGGAAATCTCCCAAACACCTATTTTCTTAAGCATACACATTATTAAACTTTGAAATATGATTTTCCTCATCAACTTCCAACAAATTTTTTAGTTCTCATGTTACATATTATACACTTAAACATAAATATAGCGATTTCATGTTGAAATTAAAGGAATACTTAAAATAAAAATCTAGTCTTTAATAGAAGCAAACACAACAAATAAAAAACTCCACGCTTTCCCACCATCAAAATCAAACAAATACATCAAATGCACAAATTTATAGTCTTGAATATCTCAAAAAAGAAAAGGTACGAACTTGTTCTTCCATGGAGCTGATAATGCCAAGGAGCTGCTGGTTCAAAACCTCCTTTTCATCAGCCATTGATCACCTGATCAGAGAAACAATTCAAACAAAGAGAGAATTTTGAAAGTGGGGTTTGGTTGGTGACTTGCAAGAGAGTGCCAGAAGGGAGAATGCATATAAAGAAGGCAGTTACAGATAGTAAATGCTTCTGAGTTTGCATCCACTTCTCTTGAAGAAAATGACAAAAAATATTGTAAGCAACCCATCTCATTGATTCTCTCTCTGTGCGTTGTTTCCGTGGGGCTAAATGCAAACAAAGGCGCAAGCGAAGCTTCATTAAATGCCTTATCTCTGTATTTGCGAAATGGTTAAGTGCCAGTTTTGAGTTCTCTGTTACCTGTCACCTGCCATATATGGAGTTTTGAAGACGGGAAATACTTATCAAACCCACAGTGTTTAGCTTTGTTACCTAAAAGTCCAATAACCTTTTTAAATTACTTAAATACCAAATGTATCAGAATTAATGGTAGAAAATTTTTAATTAAACAAATTTTTTGAAAAGTTAAGGAAATTATTTTTTTAACTTTTCTTTACGAAATACATAATACTAATTATAAATAAGTACCACTAAAAACTTAGTTTGAGGTGTTATGCTTATTCAGTAGAGACTAGTGAGAAAACTAGGGTTTTTTTTTTTTTTTTTTTGAATATCTAATTGGGTCTTATGTTTAAATTAATATTAATTCAAATAAGGTTAATTAATCATGCTCAATTTTAAGTTTTGAATGAGAATATAGAATGTTAATGATTCAATTAAAGCTTAAGTCCCAAAGGGTTTAATTAGTATAACCCTGATGGATTTTTATTTTTATTTTTTCCCTAATAAATTGAAGTTTGGAAATTAGATCATTAAAACCTATTCTCAAAAAAAAAAAAAAAAAAAAACAAAAAAAAAAAAAAAAAAAAAAAAAAAAAAAAAAAACCTTTATCCATCACTTGAGTGGGCCTTGATCTGAATAGAAAAGCCCAGTTATCGGCCCATTGGACCAAAAAAATCCATGGGGCAGGGCCCATTACAGTTTATCCATTCACTCAAATCACAATATGACACACAAGCTCTTTATCTGCACACTATATTGAAAAATAATACAACATTTCTTTTATTGTACATTTTATGAACAAATTCCTTCCCACCATGATTTTGTAATCAATTTATCACTTCTTTTTTTAACAATTAAACAAATATATATTTTTTTCTTAACTTCACAAGTACATAAATTTTAAAAAAAAAAATCTTACCTCCACATCTAAGAATTTTTATATTCTTCAATAAAATTCTCATTCAAGAATAAGCTTTATCTAACCTTAATCTAAAAAGTATTGCTATCGAATTTGAAATTTCTTCGTGCTAGTAATACTCGACAGAATTATCAGTACTACTATCAACGGCAACAATATCTCGACACATAACTGGCCGAGGGATGTACGGCGGTTTTGTACATCTCAACAATGCCCAATTGACACCATTGAAAAATTGATGATGCTTAATGGATGCAGCCCCCATCGTCGAACCCATTCGCTTGGTTGGGTCCTTCACAAGAAGTTGTGTAATCAAGTCCTTAGCAGGTCCGGGCACGGATGGTTCCTTAGGGAACTCGAGGGCTCGAGCCACAGTGTTAGCCAAGGTTAACTCATGGTCAATAGCCTTAAATGGTGTCGTTCCGTAGAACATTTCGAATATGAATATCCCTAAAGTCCACCAATCCACTGCGTTACCGTGACCCTCACCTGATACGATCTCTGGGGCCAAGTACTCATGAGTCCCAACGAAAGACATTGATCTTACATCAAGCGGCTCAGCGATTATCTCGAGGCTTCCACGGTTTCTTAATCTTTTATTACGTTTATTACGTCTCGGGTGAAAGCATGAGACAACTGGCACCATACAATTGGGTATGATGCATGATGAATTGCCAAATTGAGGTGGATCAACAGGGTAATTAGACGGTTGATTGTTGACTGGTGGGTTTTGATCAGAGACGACCTGAGCCGTTGATGTTGAGTCTTCACTTTTTAAAGAGAGATCAAAGTCTGTCAACATGATGTGACCGTCAGATCTTACCAGGACGTTCTCGGGCTTCAGATCTCGGTAGATTATCCCCATCATGTGTAGGTACTCTAGAGCAACAACCACTTCTGATGCATAGAACCTGAAATACACGGAACGGAAATTGTAGTCCAAGCCCCATGCGCGAGAACAGCGCGTGAGGAAAACTTTTAATCACATTACATAAGATCACAGTACTTAAAAGTAGAAAATAATGATAAAGAAAAAGTGTAGACAATGTGAGGTCCATTAATTGAAGGATAATTTTATTGTCCGTTTGACCAATCGTCTTAGTTACAAAATTAATTTAACATCCTCATGTGAAATTTTATAAAATCTAGAGAGAAATATTAGGAAAGGATAAGGATAATATATTCAATTAATCCACATAATTTTACATTGTTTATTTAAATGAAAGAATAATAAATAAATATATATATAGAAGAATGAATGTTGGACGCGCTACAAGATAGCGTTAAATTTGTATAACGTAGTTAAAATCTTATACGGAGGGGGTCCACGGGATGCATTAGCTGATATCATGGTGTCAAAGAGGATATTTATGCTTAGAAAATTACAATTATACCATAATAATAATAATACAATTTTACAATGTTAATATCCTGGCCAAATTTGGAAAGTGGGAATAAAAATCCAGACAATAAGGGGTAATTTCCCACATCATGGTTATATCAAATCCTAATTCAAAATTTAACTTTTTCTCTTTTTTTGTTTTCATCAAAATAGTGGCTAAAATTTAAAATATATATATATATGAATGAATTGTGATATATTTACCATTTGAAATAATTCCACAAAAAAGAAAGATAAGGACAGATTAGAATTTTTCTAGAATGGTCGAGATTACAAAAGTAGAAAAAGACAAGTTCATCGAAAACATAAAAGGAAAGCTATAATAATATCTCTAACAGACATTAATTTTGTAAAGTTGATGATTAACGCCCACTTTAGAAATTATTAATTACACATAAATATTATTACAAATTTATAATAATATTTTCCTAATTAAGCAACAACAAAAAATTAGAAAACTCCTCATATCCTAAAATGTTGAAATACAAAATTTCCTAATATGATCCAGTGGACGACAGACACACCAAAAGCGATGTGGGCTCATAGTCATGACCCTTGAAGAGACATATTTTATAAGATTAACCCATCATATACCCCACATGCAATCATAATTAAACGTACCCCACTCATGATAATCACGCATCATTATTCGCTACACACGCTCTCTCTAAATCAAATTTTTTAAATATTTTCTTAAACTTTCTAATTAACACGTACCTGACTGCGGATTCTGAGAATCTTTTCTCCGGCTGCCGTTGTCGGAGGACATGAAGATCACCGCCGGGACAGAACTCGGTCAACAGACACGACCACCTTGGACAATCCAACGTGGCATACAAAGTTGGCAAGAAAGGATGATCGATCATTTCCAATATTTCCCTTTCTATTCTCGCCCGACTCTCTTTGTTTCGGCCCACGAGCTCCTTCTTGTCCATCACTTTGGCAGCGAACAGGCAGCCGGTGGCGGCGTGCTTCAGCTCCACGAGATAAACGCTGCCGATGTCGCCGCTGCCGAGGCGGTGGACGAAGCGGAGGTCGCTTAACGTGAGTGCATTAGGGTTTGTGGAGGTCGCGCGGTGGATTGCATGCCAGCACGGGTCTTTGCATGGCTGCGCGTGCTGGTGTTTGGCGGCTGTGGTGGAGGAGGAGGTGACGCTTGAGATTGTGGTTGTGGTTGTGGTTGAACTTGTCCATGTTGTGGTTTCTGAGCCTGAACTTGTACTACGTTTCAGTTCTTGGGCATTGTTAATGGTGGTGGTGGAAGTGAAGCTGAGATTGTCGGGATCATCAGCGGCGTCGTCGGCGCATGGTTGCATGGTGGTGAAGGTGCCTTTCCGGGAGAGGAGAAAGAGGAGGAGTGAATGAGAGAATGGAGTGAGAAAGAGAGGGTTTTGAAGGGAGGAAAGGAGGAAGAGTGGAGAATGGGCCGGCAAAATGAGAACGGGCCATGTGGCAAACTTATGTGGACTATGGGCCCACGTAGGGCCCATAAACTTCCCATGTATTTTTTCTTTATGGGATTTTATACTGATTTCATAAAACATAAAATTACCATAAAGAGGTAGCAGAAGTCTAAGAGAATGATTCATGGTCAAGATATTGATAATTTAAGAGGATTGAAATCAAAGGGAAGGTAGTGTATTTTACTACCTTATAATTTATTTACTTATTCAAATATAAGATTCTTCAGTTATTTACATTCTTTTTATATAATAAGGTCCAGTTATCTCCTAGCTGTCACCAGGCATGATCTGTGAAATTCTAACTAGCAGAATCTGCGAATTAAAGAGTAATATGATTATGGGTGTTGGAAAGCCTATTATCTATGACAATTCACACAAGGCATGCTTTGTAGACATCATCAAGCTTATTATCATTGAATATATTCATCACTTTCATTCATTTTTAACCTAATATCTCTTTATATATGGACTATAGAGTAAACGACACTTTCTCACCTAAAAAGTTTTAAAATACCACTTTCCCACCCAAAGTTTTATTCTGTTAATAACCAAAATACATTTCACTTTCTCAGCCGGTGTTCGACAAGTTACCAAGAGTCAAGATAAGAGGGGTTTTGTAGAGTAAAGGTCGGGGGATTGAATAGTGGTAACCGAATGAATATTCACGTCAGAATCAATCGAAAATCAACTAAGAACATGAAGCCTTAACTTTGCGGTGGTCAACAATAGGCCAAAAATTAGGTATCGAAGTGAGAGGGGTTTTGTAGATAAGAGACCTAGGTTCAAATAGTAGTGACAGAGAGAACTTTTGTCGTCGAAATCGACTTTAGGTAGTAACAGAATATTAATTTTGGGTGGAAAAGTGATATTTTAAAATTTTTTGGGTGAAAAAGGTTCATTAAGACAAACCTTGGGTGGGAAATGTTGTTTACTCTTATATATATATATATATCAAATATATATATTTTTTTTTAAATCTTTAGAAACAGAAAACAATGACTTTGACCATACAAGTGCCCATGATTTATGAGAATAATATTAATAAGTAGTTTTCAATCTTATAGTTCACAATCATTTTTATAATTCAACAATCTATAAAGCATCATGCAATCTTTCATTACCCTTCTGGCAGCAATATTCATTTGATCTAAGTGTTTATCTTGATTGAGCAAAGACCAAGTCCTTACAAAACACCAAGGGAAAACAACCTATGTTTCAAGAGAAACATTTGTCCTTTATTGCTTGTAAGTTTCAGCAGAAAACTAAAGCCAGCTTCAACATGAGATCACCATTGTTGAATACTGTGTAACTTACTGGCTTCAACCTTGCACTTACCTGTTGTCTTTTGAGCAAACAGAGTTGTCCAAAACACAATCATGAACAAGCTGCCGGACCAAGAAATCACAAATCCCATACAATATAATGGCATATAGATAAGTTAGATGATGTTAATGTAGGGAAGAAGCTTGACCACTTGTTATTGGCACTTGCCATTTCAAACTAACTTGTATCATTATATTTATTCAACCCAAATCCTGTCATAACTTATGAATCTAGTGCATGAANAGAAAACTAAAGCCAGCTTCAACATGAGATCACCATTGTTGAATACTGTGTAACTTACTGGCTTCAACCTTGCACTTACCTGTTGTCTTTTGAGCAAACAGAGTTGTCCAAAACACAATCATGAACAAGCTGCTGGACCAAGAAATCACAAATCCCATATAATATATTGGCATATAGATAAAAGTTGGATGATGTTAATGTAGGGAAGAAGCTTGACCACTTGTTATTGGCACTTACCATTTCAAACTAACTTGTATCATTATATTTATTCAACCCAAATCCTGTCATAACTTATGAATCTAGTGCATGAATTGTTCAATAAAAATTAAATTCATGTAACATCCCATACCCACTTACTCCTGAGAGTTACCTTCTTACGTATTGTCCTACCTACTTCCTGTGATGGGGCTCGGATTTGTCACTTCCCCACTTTCTATGGTAGGGCTCAGAGGGCATCCCCCTTAATTTGAACTCAAGACTTCATCTTGAATCACGAGGGACACACTCTAAACACCACCATGAAAAGTGGGTAAGACAAAAAATCCGAACCCCACTAACTATAAGAAGTGGGTAAAAGACAATACGGTAAGAATGTAACTCTTAAAACCCCACTGGAGAAAGTGGGTATGGGATTTTACGGTTAAAAATGCGCCAAGATAAAGCAACCTACTAGATGAAACATCAAGAACCTTATCAAGGTTGCAATATGTGGAAGCGATGAGGGATAATGTTATGCCTCCGACAACATAGCTAAACTCCAAATGAAATGATCTAAGAATGTTACGTACAAATGATTGCATACCAGGACTTTACTCATAATCTAATTACATTGGTCAAACACAATAAGCTTTATATGACTCAATGAACTCAAATAATGTGCTCTATTATTATATATTAATGTTTCAAGAGCTATGATGTTCCTACATCAGAATAAATAATCTTTACAAAATAATATTATGACTATGTAGCCATTTCAGCTTAACAACTTCAAAGAATAATAACTATACTACAATTAATAACCATTTTATTATTATCAGCGTTAGAGGATGATAAAACAAACCATATATTGGGAGAATTCCTACCCCGTCTTAGTTAGAGTCACATTCATACGATATAGGTCTTGTTTGGATTCTTTCGTCCGCGCTTTCTCCTTGGGTTGGCACTGATCATACAAGAGAAAGCATTGACAAGCTCAGAATCCTCCTCAGTTATTAAAATTTTAGCAGCACTTGGATCCGCAAGCAGAAGCTTTGCCACAAGGTATCCAGCAATTGACCAGGTCTGAAACAGGCGTGATTGTTTTCCAATGAACCTTGCTCTTTTGGTGTCATAATATTCAGGCCATTTGTCACGCGCTATGCGTTTTTCAGCAACCTGAACAGCTTTTGCAGCAATTTCCGGTCTATTCATCTTTATGCATGCAACAGTAAGCTGCAAAATGCCACTTGAATGTGTTAAAATAAATATTCCAGATATCAGTTGACAAATAATGCTACACTCATTTGATACCACATTATGTATTAATCATCAGAGGCATATATGATGCATAAAAATCAAAAGAATGAAGTACAAGGTCCATAGACTGCTCGTTTGTTCACAGATCCTATATAGGACCTCCTGAATATTTGTAGGATGACATTGCTACAAAAATGAAATTGATGCCACTACTATGGTTCGGAAAATAAATGCAAACAAGAATACATGATTATTAGTGTTCCTTAGTTTTATTTATATTTGTATTTTGTAATTTAGATGTAGGTTTCTTGGACAAATGGACAGGTATTTTCTTACTATTACTCATAGAAAAATTAGCATTTTCTTGTATGCCACTTAATAAATATAGGAAAACAATGTCAGCCAAAGTCTATTTCTATAGTTCTTCCCTCCATCTTCACTTTTTTTTATATTCTTAAACTGATTTCTCCTTATGCCTATTATTTTATCTTCTTATATTACAACTATGACTTTCCAAAGACTCCAACATTAAAGATGTTGGCATTTAGCTCTCTCTTTATACATTAATATCAATATTCTTTTATCTCCGAAACAGTAATTGTATTGACAGTCAAAGTATGCAACTTTAACTAACCTGCCAGAGGAGAGTTGGCCAAGAACCACCATTGTGATAGGACCAAGGCCTACACAGAAAACAAGAGTGAAACAATGACATCAAGAGAATGTTAAGTAAATCGAGAAAAATAATAAAACACTGACTAGATCAAGTTAGATATATTTACGTGTTCTTAGGATCACTGCCTGTGATAATTTGCCACTCCTGACCTTCAAGGGCAGGATAACATATCTTCAATGGCATGTCTGCTACTAAATCTGACCATTTAGTTTCAATGAGATCCAATATGGCATGCGACTGGTCTGTAGTGGCAAGACTGCTGACAACAGACCACAGGTTTCCTAGAGAAAAGAATCGGAAATCCATGTGAGCTGGTTGCAAGTTTCCAATTAGATAGCCACCTTTATTGGGCATCCACTCCACCAACCATGGAGGAATCTGATCCGGGTAAATGTTAAACTTATTAACTGCATCATATGAGTACTCTTCAGTCTTGTAGCGGTAAATCTCATTCAATTTCCTCATATCAATCCAATAATACTCTCTGATGTGGAAGGAAAGAGCTACCAGACGATTGTTCAGTGCTCGGATTAAATCAGCTGATCCATCTTCTGGAGCCAGCATCTCACGTGCAGAAAGTAATGCTGAATAAAAAAGTGCCTACAGGGACAAAAACCTCATTTGGAATCAGACTAGGCTCTAATTATCAGACAAGAAAAGCATATTTGATACTACCCCACCATATGGCACTAACATTATCAACCACCATATCGTATCCGAAACTGTCAACCCAAAAACAAAAATAGCAACCTTGGTTTACATAGAGATATCTCTTAGGTTCCACCATAACAGAAAAAGAAGTATAGATGTATTTGTAAACAACAACCTTGAAACCATGAAATCATTACTATCTGAATACTTTCCCCAAACTTTATGTCTCTATGATTTAACAAAAGACTTTCTTACAAAATGTCATGTTGAATCTTGCAACCTAGTACATGAGGCTGTTTAGTCTAGAACTGGAGTGAAAAAAAATAAAAAAAAGGAAAGAATGAACAAACGAAAAACACGATACAATAATGATGCAAGAACTTATTTACCTGGATTTCAAGAGGGTGACCATGAATTCCCATTCGACGATCTATCATGCAAGGACCATCAGTAACTAATAATGTAGGGAACATGTCAAAACCATCAGCAAGACACAATCTCAGAATCATCTTAATCCCAGTTTGCACATCGATTCTCTCCTGAACTGAGAGATCACCAGAGCATTTTCCATATGCCCGTAATAATATAATCCACCATAGTCCTAGAATTTGCAAATAAAACAAATGAGATCTTTTTGCCTCAGGGTAAAACTTGTTAAGCAAATAAATTTTTACTTACCAGAGTCAACTGGTGCAACACGACCAATTGCTGCCTCCCCAAAGTCAGGATCCAGTACTTCTTCTGTTGCACAATCATCACCATCCAGCGGAACAGTGCGCACCTTAAAACTAGCAGGCATCAGCCCTTGACCAGGACTATGACAGTCCATTGTTTTCTCCCAGCTCTGCAATATAAGGAAAAACATGACGAGACAAATGTAAGTATATTGATGCTATCCAAATAGACGATAGAAGCTTTCTAAATTATCCAGCGAGCAAGAAAAAGCATGGCTAGTGAAATAAGCAATCTAGTGCATCATTTAACAGGAATCAACAAATGAGAGAAATATTCTTACATCAACAGACCCCAATAGTTTTTTATTAGAAAAACTGCATCTTAAACAGATAATGTTATGATTAAATTACCATATTACCTGCAACTGAAGTGTGTGAAGGATGAAATTCCGAACAATATCATACTCTCCCTTCAACAGAAAAGCAATACCAGATGGTATAAAATCACGAATGAAGACCTGATCATAATTCAACACATTAGAACTGGTGGGATCATTCGCAGCAATTGTACCAATAGGACTTCCACAATAATAAACCATTGAATCCCGAAGTAGGTCCCATGCTTCATCCTCAATAGAATCTACACTAGTCTTGCTCGTGGTATCTCTAACTGTACCAACAGAACCATTTGAAGCCAAACCCTTATTTTCCTGCTCAAATTGCTGAACATTCTCAAACTCCAAAATATTTGGTTTCTTGGTCACACCATTTAGGTTTAATGTCTTTGCGTTGTCAACAAACCATGTACCATTTCCATCTGCTGCTATAGTCCCACTTAGACTTTCAGCCTTTTGGCATTTGCAAATTAGACGCTGCACTTTGTTAACTTCATTGTACCCAAATGAATCACTGCATAACCCCATATATCGACTCACTCCTATGTGATTTTGTACTATATTTGAGCACTTGAACAATTGTTTATACCTTGAAGCCCTTTTCTTTGTACATTTGAGGAGGAATCTAGAAGAGAATGTTGAATCCAAAAAGCCTGAACCAATGTCAGAACTCAAAAGTCGAGGGGCAGCCCCAGACAAAACTTGGAGAACCACCTCAGAAGTTCCCATTGTAATACTTATCCAATAAACTGAATTATGTTATTGTTAGCAATTCAATTCCTTCCAAAACGAATCCAATAACTCTGCTTTATGGTCCAAAAGAATACGCCTGAGATGAACCCAAATACGAAACCCTCCAAAATTTTGCTTCTATACAGTTCAAATCATTCAATATTGAAGCAAATCAATTCATAGAAAAACAAAATATAAAAGCAAATTTATAGTACAAAACCATATCAATTCTCTGCACTTTGCAACTAGAAGATAGAGCCACCAAAGCCTAAAACTAGATTTAATCATACACAAGCAAAAACCTCCTCTTTTGCAACCCAAATCAGCATGAAAAAAAAAAAAAGATAACTTTTTCCAAGTTTTCTCAGCAACCAAACAAGAGAATATAAATTAACACTTTCAACCTTTGGAATTCACCATGCAAATTCAAATCAAGCAACAAACAATCATTCATTGCAACTAAACACACAAAAAAGCCAACAACTTTCCATTTCAAATCAAAATCAAAGCAAAACTCATTCAAGATACGCCAAAAAGCACCGACCCATATAAACATGCATTGATCATGAACAAACCAACACCAAAATTAACTCACTTTTCTATAACAAAAACGCAAGTGGAAGAAAAACAAGAACATAAAAACACAAACCCAGAAAAATCACAACAAAAACATGAAAATTAAACAAAAAAAAGTGCTCACCTGGTATTGAAATGATAAAAAATCCAAATGGGTGCGCTTAAAACAAAGTTTTAGGGACCAATAAAGCAACAAAGGGGAGATATTTTTACAAGAAGTTCAAACTCGTGTTCCGAACGAAACTACAAAATCAGTATCAAAGTGGGTTGATTTTTTTTGTATTTCTGTTTTTTTAAGAAAAATGGTGGTGTTTGTGTAAACTACTAAACTGGAAGACGAATGGAAATTCAGGAGAACATTCTTGTTACGCCTCTCTTCAATTTTTATTCTCCATTTTTGTTCATTTTTCTTCTTTAATTATCAGTTATCAGCTTTTTTATTTATTTGTTTGTTTATTTTTTAATTTTCTTCTTTTCTTTTATATTTATTTCTTTTGGCTTTATTTGTTTTTAATTGCATTATCCACTTTTATGTGGCCTCCAATGTGGGGCAGGGTAGCCTTTTAGAGATTTTATAATTTAAATTACTTCAAAAGTTTTAGGTGTAATTTAAAATTTTGTAATAATATTATAATTATTTGTTGATGTGTTAGAATCAAATTAATTATTACATCAATTAAATTTTGATATTATGTCTAAATTTTGTATTAATAATATTATTCAAAATTTTATTTATATGATAAATTATTAATAAACTTCTTAATACTTTATTATAAAAAAAGAAGTGTTTTTGAAACAAACTTTAGAGAAAGATTAGACGTTTTTAATATTGAATTTTTTTTTTTACTTAAAACTTGATTTTAATTTACAGGCATTCATTTAAGTAAATTGAAAAATGAAAGTAAAAAAATATATATAATCAATTATTAATGTGTTAATTTAAAATTTTCATATTTTTTTAATACATATATATCCAAAGAAGAAGGTGGGTGGGACATTGAAATCATACCAATTATTATTTATTTATAATTGAATAAACTCAGTCAATATTCTACAAATAGCTATTTTAAATATTTAAAATTATTACCCTATTAAAACGTTAAAAAAAAAAAATCAGAAAGGAGAACAATATAATATCATTGTCCATTTCTTAATTTTTATTAAATAAAAAATAATTTATGTGGTGGATGTGAGCACTGAGCCGGTAGGTGACGTATACAATAAATAACTACACAGACTGAAATTGATGTGACGTCGTTTGGTCATCACTCATCATTGAGCAGGCTTCATTAAAAACATGGGCAAATATGAACCATTAGTTAGTTACCAACAGCATTGACCAATTCACCTAATTCCCTTCATTTTACCAACACACGCAGGCATTTGAATGTACAGCCTATTGGGCCGAAGCATGGGCTGGCCATATCAATAGAGTAGCTCCAAATACTCCCACTGCCTTGTTTCTACTTTCTATATTATATTGCTAAATTTAAGGGCATTATGTTTTGTTATACAAATTAAACATGATTATTTAGTGTTGGAGCCAAGATATTCTCAAAAAGGGGTGATCGTTCCGGGTACCATACATTTTTTTGAAGAAACCTGAAAGTCTGAAACATAGGTTCCAGATACCTAGGTAAATTTCAATTACCCCATATTTTTTTGTAAAGTGACAAATACCCCCCCCCCAAAAAAAATTACAAGTATACCCCCAATAGTTTGCAAAAATTATAATTTAGTCTCAGTTCCTGCCCAGATACCCGAACCTTAGTTATGGTTCCCGGTTCCAACTCTATAGGCAGCGGCGGATCCAGCCCCTTGAGGGCTAGGCCTACCCTTATATTTAAAAAAAAAAAATTACTATTATATAGACCCACAAAAAGTTGTTATTAATATATATAGTCAGACCCACCCTCAAATTTTTTTTTAAAAAAAATTGAGAACTATTATACATATATCTAGGTCCACAAAATACTTGCTATTAATATATATTCTAAGCGTATATCATATTAAAAGTTTGAAACTCTCTCCGTTCTTCTTCTCTACGGCTCCACCTGCTTTATATGATTTTATCTTCAAAATTCTTTAATCTCTCATTCTCTCTCTCTCTTTCTCATAATATTCGCTCTTAAAACTTTTAAAGATTGAAATTGTTGAAGTTTTCACTACTCAAGGTGTCACAATTAGCTCCATTTTCTGTTTTATTAGTTTTAGGAATGTGTATTGCTCATTTCAATTTAGATTATTTTAGGGTTGAATCATGCTTATTTTTTTGGAGGTTTTTTATTCTAACTTGAGAGGAAAATACATAGATCTTGTGAGTTTATTTTGTATTTTGTTTCTAACAATGAACATGTTTTCCCAAATAAAAACTTTAAATATGTTTTAAAGGACGTTATTCTTCACTATTACCCACTATTTTCTTACATTTCAAACATCACCGTTTAACTGCTCAAAATAATTAAAGAAATTTGAGTTACTATCTATATTTATACCAAGAAAATTCCCCATTTTTTATTAATTCATGTTAAAAATCAACGTAACGTTGAGTTGATTTAAGTTATGGTTGACTTTAGCTTAGGTCGGATCTTATCAAAGTCATGAAAATTAATATTATAATTTTTTAAAGCCAAAAATTAAAAAATATATATATTAAAAGAAGGTTTTGCTCAAGGTTTACTCAATACATTTACTCAAAATTTTGCTTCTTATAGGTTTATTCAAGTAGAAAAGTATTATGTTATTGCATTATTTTTTCTCAAGTTCTTGATATTGTATTATTTTATTTGCTTAAAGTTTGATGATTTTTTAAAATTTTCACTGGTTGTTTAACAAATAATGGCAAAGTCACGGAAGACCCTCTCTCGACAAAAATCATGGATCTGTCACTGTCTATAGGAACCAAAACTAGACCCAAGAATTCTCAGTTCCAATTTTCCAGAACCGAAACTGAACCCTAATGCAATCGATTCCGGTTCTAATTCTACCCTTTACCCATGCTTACCCCTACTCAAAGTCAAAATATCAGATACAATTTATTTTTATTATTTAAAAATATGTTTTATATAATATTTAAACTGTTTTTGACGTTAAAAACTAATAAATAACGGGAAAAAAAAAAAAAACAGTCTCTTGTTTTTTCATTTTACTCTACTTTTTTGGTATTACATCTCAAATCACTTTGCGGAATATATATTTTATTTATATCCTTTATTTTCAGTAATGTATTTAAATATTAGGTTAAAAATATAAATTAATTAATGGGAATATGTAACAAAAGTTTGTATAGTAATAGATAGAAAGCCCACAACTTATGGCTTCCTTAATCTTTTAGGAGTAATACTACACTTACAAAGATCTTCGTACAAATTGATGTGATAAAAAATGAATAGAAGAGTGAATTTAATGAGTTTAACTTTTTATTTTATTCTTTCATTCATTTTTTGCCACTTCACTTTGTATGAAAATGTTTGTAGAATTTCTTTGTAAGGATAGTATTATTGATCTTTTATTTTATGAAAAGTCACTTTCAATTACTAAAAATATCTATCTAAACTGATATCTAGCCTTTTATTTCTCACCAACCCTTTCATTATAAACACATGAAATATCCAACATTTTGTAAAACGAAACAGAGTAAACCACTTCTTCCCACCCAAATAATGGTCTAATGACCATTTCTCACCCAAAACTTTTTAAAATATAATTTTACTACGCAATTAATAATTTCCGTTAATTACAATAATATTTATTGTGAAGACAAAAATAACCTTTACCATTTGACTTAATATACCCACTCTTTAAATTTAAATTACTAATATGCCCTGTAGTAATTCTGAGTAAGTACACAAAGAAGAAAATGATAAATAAATTAAAAAAAAAATTAGAACTGATATAAGAAAAAAAGAAGAAAATGTAAATGAAAGGGAGAAGAAAGTAAGAAGAAAGGGAAGAGGAGAAGAGATGGAAAAAACGAAAAAGAAGAGAAAAAACAATTAGGGTTCTTTTTAATAAAAGAAGGGAAGAATAAATATTTTATTCTTAATTTATATTACATGAGGGCATATTAGTAATTTATATTTAAAGAGTGGGTATATTAATAATGGACAATGATATAAAAATAATATGCCTTCTAAATAAAAATCTTCAATTTTCTCACCGTCCAACCAAATCGGCAGGAGAAAGTTAGCTAGGTGGGGATTTTTAACGAATAGTTGGTGTGCAAGCTGGGTTGGGGAGTGAACAATAGTGACTGGTAGGGTTAATCCGGCCAGACCAAACACAAGAATACTCCAAATAAACAATCAAACAACACCCAAACTTCAATACAAACTCCAGAGTACTCCATCAACATCAAAAAACAAGCCACAACAAGAAAACCCGAAAATACAGAACAACAATCACTCGAAAATACAGAATAACAATCACGGCACTGCAGGTGGTAATCGGTGAGCAAGGGTGACGGTGTGTGGGTGGGTTTTGAAGAGCAAGTGAGGGGTGTGGTGTGGTGTGACAGTGAGAAGTGAAGTGGATGGGTAGGTGTTGCTATGCGGGAGATGTGGGGAAGGAAGGTGGTGAGGAAGTGGAGCGAGTTGGAGGTTGGCAGAGCAGCGGAGGGGAGGTAGTGGGAGGCGTAGTGAAGAGAGGAGAAGCGAGGGAGGACTGGCCATTTTGGCTTTGGTTTGGATATGAGAAAGAATACATTAAGGAAAGAAAGAAGAAGGATGAAAGGGCAAAAAAAGTGAAAGAAATAGAAGAGAATGAGACAAGAAGTATGAGAAAAAAAGTAAAAAACACGCGGCAACCATTCAGCCCTACAATTACCTACACTTGAATTTAAAAATTTTGATTTTTGTATACAAAATATTAATTGACTATTCTGCCCTTCCTTTTAACGAATTTTTACCACTCTATCCCTTTTCACAATAAAATTTACTAACAAAAATTTGCTGTGGGTAATAAAATTGTATTTTAAAACGTTTTGGGTGAAAAAGTGTCATTATGCCGTTATTTGGATGGGAAAAAGTCCTTTACTCAACAAAACATGTCTTAAATTTATAATTTATGGGGTTAATTTTGTTGTTCATCAAAAATCGAAAAGTATAAAATTTCTTAATGATTTTCGAAAACTATAAAATATAGGTATATAGTTTCGTAACACATATTGTAATGTATTTTAACATAAGAAAGATTAAATTACATTTCTTAGTTTATCTAATTAATTTTGAGTAAACAACTTATTCCCACCCAGGGTTTGCCTTATTGACACTTTTCCATCCAAATAATTTCAAAATGCCACTTTCTCACCAAAAGTTTATATTTCATTAATACTTAAAATACACTTCACTTTCTCAACTGGCATTCAGCGAGTTACCAAGAGCCAAGATAAGAGGGATTTTGTAGAATGGAGGTTGGTGGATCGA